CTATAATGTTTAGCTTAAATTTTAAAATGAATGCATACCTCTTTCTTCAATGTTGAGTATAATTTTAGAATGCCATTTTAAAATAGATTTACCTCACATGCGAAAAGATCTTTATATTGGCTATTAAATCCTCATTTATGAGTGAAATTGTCCTCATTTGTAGGACTCTGTACTTTCGAATGGGTGTGCCACTATAAACTTTCTCAACTATTATAGTTTTAACTCATTGCCATTTATCTAAAATTCTGATCTTTGCTATTTGAAGATCTTGCAAAAGCTATATTGAAAACTATGAAGTTTTTTGCATTAAAACTAATGTGGTTTGCACATTCAAAAACTCAAGATCTATCAATATTAATCTCATATTCGACTTGAATGCAAGAAGTTCCACAACACTTTAGTCATACTAGTACTTTATGAATTCCTTTATTTGTTCCATCTTAGCAACCACTACTTTCTTAAATCAATGTTACAATCTAATGAAGGTCTCTTCTATCTTAAGCTCAAAAACACAAAAGGAATGGTTGTCCAATTTACGCTCGTAAGCTCGCTCAATTAGCTTAATTCTCTACTCTACATGTCTTTCACATTTGAAGTATCTTCTTTTGTAGTTGAGAAAGATCTATAATAACTTATAAAGTAGATTCTTGCTAAGTAAAGTTAATGGGAGATTTAATAAGTGCTTAGAGTACTTCTTGACATTAAAAATTGGTGTTAAAAAAAAAGACCTTGGTTGCCACTCTCATAATCCTTGATTTAGAGTGTTTTGTTCCTAAGTGGGTGTTAGCTGACACTATTGTTTTTGTGAAGGGCTTTCATTTTGGGCCTACTTTTCATCGCATACCTACTCTGATGAATTATTGAGATTCTTGAATGTCTTTATCAATTGGATTGCATCCCATGTTTTTACTCCAATGTTCATCCATGTTAGAATATTGAGATCGAAATGGTCCTTTTCAAAAAATCTATTACTCTGAATCTTGTTGAGGAAGTTTGGCAACACTCCAGCTAATATTTACACAATGCTTTTCTACATAGTCCATTCAATTTTGCTTGGGTTATTAACATTTGAGGAAACAAAAAAGGGATTCATTTCATGCATTTTCACTTATTGCTTACCATATCTCAATTTGCCAATTCAACCAAAACGATGGGCAGATAAAAAAACTTAGCACTTCTACAATTTCACTGCCCACTAAACCTTAGTTCACATGTGGGAAGTTTAAATGTAAAAAATATATACAAATTGATTAACAAATCTATATTAATTTTAGTTAAATCTTCACTCAATATTTTATGCTCTCATAATTATGTGCATTAAATTTTTTTTTTTCACTTTGTCTAAGATCAAATTTATTTGTTACCATATCTAATATTATGGTCTAGAGAGACTTTCTATCTCCATAGTTGCATCATTGAATCATTTTTTCTTTTCAATTACTTTTGGGGTATAGAATTTCTTTCAAACGTCAAGTCATAACATATACCCTAATCACATAACTATCTTAAAAAATGTATAATTAAAAACATCACTTTATCAGTTTTATCTGTTTTGTAGGCTAAATAACACTATGGTGGGTGGACCTTACTATAATGTAAAACAGTAGCATGCCATCCATGCCACTGATCCCAACCTCAATTATTTTTTAAGTCCAAAATCATTTGCAAGTCATGGGGCATCCTTGAATATAGTTATATAGCTTGCATTATGTCAAAATCAATTGAAGACATATGAACGTTATTGTGAATGCAATAGTAAAATCTAACAACAAGAAACAATAGTGCATATGAGAATTGTAGATAAAAGATTTCCAAAACCAAATAAAAAATCATTTAAAAATATGGTTAGCACACTAGATGCACTAGGATATAAGCCAAATCTTCAATAGACCTTCATAGTTTTAGAGAAATGTAAGTGGTCTTTACTTAGCTCAAAGGGCCAAAGATTTTTGTTAAAGTAAGCATGATACTAAAATAAAGAGACTTTTTTCAATAAAAGTAAGTAAAAAGTTTCAACCTTTTTGTATTCTATGTTTATCCAACACTATATATGAACTCAATCCTAAAAAGAATCACAGATCAGGCAATCTATCTCCTCTACCTCCATCATAAATTTGCTAAATAAAGATTTGAAAAATACCTTGAAAATAATATTTGTAACAATATTATGTTTTTGAAAGAAAGTGGCAAAAAAACCACAAGGCTGACAACATTAAAAACACTAAGAGACATGTGATAATCATGTATTTTTAAGTTTCACAAGTTTTACAAGAATGTGTTTACTTTGTAATATTGGTTGCAATACTTATGTGAGGATTGGATTGGCCAGAAGATAGCACATCTTAATAGTTCATACCAAACCAAAGCAAAAAAGAAAAAGAAAAATTGTCATTGTTTATCATATGTTGCAACAAGGGGAACAAAAGGTTATTTTTTCACCAAATCTACTTTTTATAGGTATAGGCAAACATTTATTCTCATTAAAAATATATAAGGTAGCACGATAGAAAATGATAGAGTGGATATGAGGGGAAGTTAGAACCATATAATCCAATAAATAGGTTTGGATATGATTTGCAAGAGAATATTATATTTATCACTAGTAATGTTAGAAGTAATGATGAATAGTTTATCTAATAATAATTTGGTTGAAGAAAATGTCTTGGAGGAAGAAGAGCTAAAAATTGTGGTTATACATGCTAAGGCTATAATGCAAAAGCAAAACACAACTATGATGGATCCATACAATCTAGGTTGTAATAATCATATTATATTTCATGCTTATAATTGTATGGTTTACCAAGTGATATATGTTTTACTTAAATTATAAAGATATTCTTAGTTGGGATTAGGGATGCAATTGAAGTCTTTATCTATGCTAAATACTACTAGTGAAAAATTGCTTATTTGTCTATTCCTTTGGTAGAAACTAATAATTTTTTCTTAGTTATTATGCAAGTGGACCAAAAAGAACTCTAATGAAATATCACCACACAGTTTAATCATACTTGCATCTTACTAATGGATGCTCTAGTTAGAGAAGTTTGCATTGTGCCAGATTATAACAATGTTTGGAACTACTTTTATTTAGTTTTAGATGTAGTTTATCACAAATTTCCAAGAAGTGCCCACAATAAAAACAGTCCTATAGAAGTAACAATAAGGACAATCTTATAGAAGTGGCAATTAGTTATATTATGAGGATCCAAGGAAGAATTAAATATGTGGTAAAAGTGTTTGCAATAGAACATTTATATGTCATATAAATGGAAGTTGTAGCCAACAATCCCAATTCATATAGAATTGGGAGAGGACATTTAGCAGCAAATGAAAATAAATTTTTTTTTTTTTTTCTTACTAAAGTGTGGGAATTTAGTTCCAGCTGAAAACATCATACATTTGTTAAACAGCATAACCTATGCTCTTATCAAAAGAATATTGTCACAGATAAATTACATGAATATACGTCTTTTATATGTAGTTGAAAATGGGTTTTAGAAGGAAGATAACACACTTCCCATTCTCATTAGTCTATTGTTCATGAAATCATCAACTACAATGTCATCCATAAGGAAAACCAAACTTTACTCCAATTTTAAAATAAATTGCTACGCATTGCATGTAGCAACACTTGGTTTGCTTAATGGTAGTTTTATTATTACTTATTAATCTAATTGATCAAATAAAGTTTATAATCATAAGCATGTTAGTAATTTATAAACACAAGATTAATCTTATTGCATATCAACCATTAGATAATAGAATAAAAAAGAATATACTAGAAAGGGTTTAGAAAAGTTTATAAATTATAAACATGTTTATAAATTATAAATACCAGATTAATCTAAATGAATACCAACCGTTAGATGGTAGAATATCCCAGAATATCCAAGCATATTCTAGGTATATTCACTACCATCTCAGTCCCCCTATAGGTTTGCTTAAGCAAACCAATAATTTTTGATGTCCTTAATATTATAAATCAAGTTCCAGAGTGTTAACTATATTAAAACATATAAACTATCCTAGTTCAAAAGTATATTATTTTCCATTACAAAATAAACCATATACATTTCTAGTCTCAAAAATAGTGAACAATGGGATGATAAGAATCAGGTTGCTAAACCATATTCCCTACATTGAAAGCTATATCAAACATAAAAAAACTATGTCTTAAAAAAACCATAATTAGGAGAATGTTGTGAACTGCAAGAACTTATAATAGTGTCTTCCCAAGTTGATGCGATCTTTTAGTTAAGTTGCCTTTGGTAGACCTTTAGGTTCCTGCTGTATGGAAACTATAGCAATAAGCATATGTGTACCTTCAGTTTGTAATTTGCAACTGTGATCTGTGATTAACCTCAAAGGTATAAGCAAAAGCTTCTGTTCAAATTTTGAACACTTTGAAGGTGGCATTCTCTATTTCAAGAAAATGTCACAGATTGTATCACACGTTGGCTTGCTACTACCTCTGGTGGTCGACGAGTATAGACATTTAAGTCTTTTGGTGTGTCTACAAAACAAAATGATGCTATGAGAACAACCAAGTCAACCGTGTTTTAACTTTTTGGGAAGAGTTACCTTTAGAAGCTCTATCAACGACAGAATCGTTGTCTCTTCAATCGATGTCAATACGAGTTTATCAATGCAAACTCTGCAAGCCTCTGGTGCCATTTTGCACCTCCCAGACCCAGAGTACGTTTTCTTGACCCAAAGCAATCAAACACGTGGCCCAGTCAGCTGGAAGGCGTCCTATCTGTGTGCAACTAAAACAAAGCGACAAAAGTTACCTCTCCTGGAGAAACTTACAATGTCGGAGCATGCCTGTCGGAGCGATGAGAGAGAGAGAGAGAGAGAGAGAGAGCCACAGCTGGCATTGCAAGAGGGATGAGGCCCTTTAGTACTCGCTCTACTGCAAGCAATCAACTCCAATTAAACTGAAGTCACTTGTAACAGCTTATACCTCTCTGAAAATTACTGTTCATTTTAAGAGAGGGTACCAAGGCCAAGAGTTCTGGGAGACGACGTTTACTTGTAGGTCTACAGGCATGGAGGTTGTGGGCTCCTTGGCAAGCGCCTTGTGTGGCTTGGCTCTGGGCCCTGCTAAGAAGATATGGGACTGCAATGCCAACATTGAAACGCTGGAGAACAAGGCGCCCCACATCCGGGACAAGATCAACGCTTTCGGTCGCCACAAGGAGCGAAATGGACCTGGCTTTATGTTCTCTGAAGCGGCCGAGGAATGCTTGGAGCGTGTCAGGGAATGGAACACCAAGGCACAAGCACTCTTGGGATCACGCCATAACAGGATCTGGAGCCCCATAAAGCGGTCGGTACAGTAGCATTTTATCGTTTGTGTGTGTGTGTGTGTGTGTGTGTGTAGAAATGGCAGGCAGCTGGTTGAACTTCTCCACTTCCTATAGGTACAAGCGGAGTAACGAGATCGCGAAGTCCTTAAGTGCCTACGGCGATCTCCTGTCGCAGATCCAGGGTCACGAGCATGAGCTGAATGTCCACATTGAGGAGCTAAAGAAGAGGTCATCCAGAATCCAGGCCACGCTTGACAAGTTTAATGCTCCCAAGCACAGGAATCCAGATTTCCGCTACTCTGGTGAGGCTGAGGCGTGGCTGACTGAACTGACTGAATGGACTGAGAAGGCGCAAGCGCTGCTTGGATCACAGTAAGGCTTATTCGAATTCATGTTTGAAGCAATGGAGCTAAAAGATGGATCTTTCGCGCAGGGAGAAGCGATCTGGCGCGATTTCGGAGCTGGTACGCACTTGCGAGGGCGATCTCCTCCCGCACATTGAAAGTTACGAGCGAGAAGAGTTGAAAGTGATACAGCCGAGCACCAGCTTTTCCGTACGGAGTTGTCCACAAGACAGAGGTCTCGTAAAGTATGTACGGCGTGGTGTTCCCAACGACATGTTTGGCCGCCATGGGGAGCAGCTGGATGAGGTGGTGAATGCCCTCCTGGATCCACAAGCCCCGGGGAAATGGTTTGGACTCCTGGGAATGGGAGGGTGTGGCAAGACCACCCTTGCAAGCTGGGTGCACAATGACGAGAGGGTCCGGCAGCATTTCCATGACAACATTGTGTGGATTACTGTCAAGAAAGATGCATCGGAGGATGATCTCAGGGCCCAGCTCCTCAACGCTCTTGAATGGGGCGACATGAAGGAGAGGGCCCAAAATGCAGGCACCATTGAGCATGTGCAACAGATGGCACAAAATGTTGCTCGTGGCAACCATGTCTTGTTGATACTGGATGATATGTGGAACACGAGCTGGGCAAAAGGACTGGATTTTATAGCAGGGCCGTCCTCTTACAGCCGGGTGCTGGTAACAACCAGAAAGGAAGGCATTTTGAGCATGCTGGGTGCAAAGGCATTTCCTGTGCATGAGCTATCAGAGGACGAGAGCAAAAAGATGTTTTGGAAGTTTGCCTTTTATGATTCGCTACCTAGTGATCCGGACATTGTGAAAGTTGCCGAGAGAATAGCTAGCAAATGTGAGGGGCTCCCTTTAGCTCTTGAAGTGATTGGCAGTGCCATGGCTGTCTACAGGAATGAGGGGCCACAGGTGTGGAAAGAACGCTATCAGAAGATGCATTTGTTGAATGATGGGGACATTGAGAAGCGGATGTTCCAGCGCTTGAAGTTTAGCTATGACGAGCTGGGACGCTTTAATAAGGATGAAAAGCTGCAAGAGTGCTTTCTCTATGTGGCTGCGTTTCCAGAAGATAAGCGAATCCAGTTTGCTAATCTGAGAAAATGTTGGATAGCGGTTGGGTCAGAACTCTCGCCTCTGCAGATTGTTAGTGAACTGGAACGAAGATGCCTAGTGAAGACAACTGATTCTCGATGGTGGGCCCTGAGAAGAACCGTAACTGTGCACGATATGGTACGCAAGCTGTGCATAAGAATCTTGAAAGGGAAGTACCCACCCCAGGAAGAGCACGAGAAGGGATGCCTGTTTGGCTATGATTGTCCACCTGGGATTTCTCCAACATTTTCTAAAGTTTCATTCATTGGAAAGAAGGTTACAAGCAGCCTTTTGTCTGACATTCATGTGCGAGATGTCTTGCTTCTCGATGGATGTTATGGAATTTCTGGTGTGGATGTCAGTCTTAGTATAGATCACATCCAAAATGTCAAGGTATTGAGCTTGAATAGATGCTCTAATTTGGTCCGTTTTATTACAGAGAGCATATCCAAGCTGAGAAACCTTCAAGTGCTTGACCTTCGATATTCAGGTGTGCCTCAATTGCCAGATGCGCTCTTCAGCTTGACATCACTGAAGGTTTTGAAATGCAATGACATCAAGAAATTCAACTTTGCATTACTACTCCAATTATTTAACTTGGAAGAGCTGGAGCTTGATTCCTATGAGGAGTTAGCTGTGGATTTGAGTGGAATTTCAAGCCTACACAAGCTAAGACATTTAGAGCTAGGCCTCCACAAGGCAACAATAAAAACACCTCACAGCCTTGGTGCACTAGAGGACATTGAGACACTGGAGTTGCGGGCAAAGAGCATGGACTTTGGCGATTTCACCGGCCCGTGGCAACTTGTCAATCTAAGACGATGTGACATTAGGGTGGCATTGACTATCAAACTTGACTGGAAGCGAATGTTTAAGAATTCCAAACAGCTTCAGCACTTTTCGATTGATGGGGTACAAGACGGTGAAAACAATGCCGAAAGCCTCGAATGGCTACAGCTACAATATTTAAGGATCACAAACAATGAGACAATGAAAGACCTGTCTTGGCTAAAGGGCTTTCAACGGCTACGAGAACTTCACATAGACTGCAGTGGTATCCAGTTCTTCAGTCTGGATGGATCGTTCCCATGCCTCGAACGTCTGGAGCTTCGAAATCTACACATTGCACAGTTGGAGTTCAAGGATGATTTGGCAGCAAGTCTTCCAAACCTGAAGAGTTTAACATTCTATCTGGCTCCTGATAATACATGGGAGCATTTGCCTCTCTTTGTGACACAACTCCCCAAAGACCTTGATGATCTGCAAGTTTGTATAGCAGGTTACATGAGGAGACTCTTGATGCCAACTGAGAGATCACAGCTGAAGGTGAAACAGGTCGAATTATTTGCAAGGGAGGCTATTAGTAAGCAGCTCCCCAATGATTTCTTTGAGCCAACAGACCAGATGACTGCTCTAAGAGGTGTAACCTTGGGTAGGATCGAAAATATTCCATCATCCATTTCATCCCTTCCAGGATTGGAGGAACTTGAGCTCCTTGGTCGTCATGATGTAGTGTGGCCACAATTGAGTTCAGACAATCACGGCCTTGGCTTATTTCCTAGGCTCAAAGTCCTACGCTGCCAAAAAGATACGAAAGTTCCACCATGGCTTGAGGAGCGGCCAGATCTCAAGATATATGGGCCCTAGTAAACCTTGCTCCTTCAGTGGACATCGATTGGGTTCTCAAAGATCTGCGCAAATGCTACACCATTTTGCATCACAAGCAGAACATCAAAAAACGAAAACAGAAATTTCACAGCGTCAGCAGCGTTAGGAGAAGAAACATTTATTTATTTTCTTACAAATCGTATTCTCAGGATATTACTTTACTCTCGTGGTTTTGAGTATTTTAAAACCTGGTGTATAGAGTAAATGGTAAAACATGCAAAACATAAAATTATTAAGAATATGCATCATACCTTTAGTTCTTCTCTTTTCGAGATCAATGTAGCGATCTCTCTCGATCCTGATTGCTTTGGTTTGTGCCACATTCCCCATACTTTGGGACAATGAAATTGGCGGCTGAATAAGATAATTAAAGGGTTGCACAGCTTCGAAGTTGCATCGCTGCCAAGGATTGGAAACTCTTATAATGCAGTGTCAATCACAGGCTTCGCTTATTTTTAACCCAGACTTGTGGAATCGTGAAAAACTAGGCATGTGGTGACCCAATTCTTGTCAACTAGCAATCCATTAGAAACAAATAAAATTTAATAATATACAAACACAAGAATTTTTGCACTACTAGTAGTAACTAGATACAAGATCCAAGAAAAAAAATTATTTCGTAGCAAAAAAAAAAAAAAAAAAAAGAGAAGGGAAAAAATCCATGGCCAATGAGTGAAAGGAGAGAGTAAAAAGAAAAGAAAGAAATAAACCATATAAAATGAAAGCAAAAACACTTATTGATAGAGGGACAGTAGTGGTAGATCAACACTCGCAGCCAGACGATCTTGGCCGTCTGTTGTTATTTGTAATTTTCATCGTGTCTGGAAGATAGCTGCTGCCAGAAGTTAAATGTGAGCTTGAAACATCACAAGAAGAAACAAGCAAAACTTACAAGTCTTCCTCGGGTTCGCTCCTCAAGGCATTCTTGGCAATGCATTGAAACGCAGCCTCCACGTTGTAGTCTTCCTTGGCAGACATCTCAAAGTATGGAATGTTTCCCTTGGAAGCACACCGGGCCTTGGCTTTGATCGAATTTTACCTGATCACAGAAGTAAAAACGTGTTCAGAAAAAAGAGAAAAAAAAAGAAAGAGAAGTTCTTCATGCCTGGTAAAGGGCATCATAAAAATCACCAGACTCAGATAGTTGGCATTCAATATCTGCATTGAAAAACAAAAGATATTTAAACCCAAAACATATGCAGGAGGTTCTTACTGGCACAGGAGTTCCAGTAAGGCACAATCTGCGGTCGGCAACAAGCTTGAAAACAGCCTGAGCAACACAAGACTTATTTGCCTTGATAGAATGAGCTTTGTCCAGTACAACTCTAAACCAATGAACATTATGGATTGGTCCTTCGCCTCCGCTCTGTTAAACACCGTGAGTGTGAAACTGTTTCAAACTACCAATCAAACTACTAACTTACATTGTTGCATTCCGATTGAACAACGCCATAGGTAGTCAAGACGACATCGTACTTCGAGAGTGTTTTAGCATCTCTTGATCTATCAGGTCCGTAATAAGCAAAAACAGAGACAGTACCAGGAGATACGTGCGCTTCCAGCTCTGACTGCAAGCACAGGCTTCAGAACTTGCACAGACATCAGCGAAAAAATACATACCCGCCATTGACTAAGTAAAGTCATGGGACAAATTATAAGAGTGCCACCTTCCTTTAAACTCTTAAAAGACTTCGTTTTTGCCTGTGTTGGCTGCACCTGAGATGTACTACATCCTTTGCGGCGATTGGAGAGCAAAAGAGATATTGTCATGACCGTTTTACCAAGGCCTATAGCATCAGCGAGAATCTGATTTGATCAAAACATAAGATACCAAATGAGATTTATGAGCAAAATACCCCTCCTCTTGAAGCCTGCAGTGCGCTCGGAAATCGCCAGAAAAAGAATTCACGTAAAAAGCAGAGGCTCGCAAGGATGAAGCGCTTTAGCAGCATCCTCCCGAGTGACGCCATCTTCCAGTTGAGACATCCAAAACAACGCTTGCTTTTGGTAAGGCCTCAGCTTGCATTCTAGATCTTGAGGTTCCTCCATTTCCTGGTGTATAAAATGTTAAAACATGGAAAACATAACAATAAGCATATGCATACCTTCAGTTCGCGACTGTCACTGGTGCCAACCACGTGATCAACCTCCGAATCGAGCATAACAGAATCTTCGTTATCCTTCTGCTCAGGTTTTGAACGCTTCGAAGGTGGCCCTTCCTGTTTAACAAAAATGTCTACACATTGCCTGGCTCTTTGAAATAACTACCTCTGGACGTCGACGAGTGTAGACATTTAAATCTTCTGGTGTAAACTGCGCCTACAAAACAAAACTATGCTATAAGAACAGCTAAACCAAACCATGTTGTACCTTTCTGAGGAGTCATCTTTAGCAGCTCCATCAACGACGGAAGCGGGCGAAAGGTTGTCTCTTCAATCGATACAGTTCCCTTGTATTTCACAAAAAACGACTTGTTGATATAAACTCTGCAAGCACATCATATCCGTAACGTCTCTGGTAAACACAGAAAACTCTACCTCAAATCGAGAACTATGCTGCTCATAAGAGAAAGAGCCTCTGGTGCCATTTTGCACTTCCCGAGTATGCTTATTTTATTTGAGTGAACCAAAGGTATCAAACACTTGGCCCAGACGGCTGGAAGCCGTCCTATCTGTGAGCAAATGGTTAGAATTAAAACGAAGAAACAAGTCAAGTGAAACGTACCTCTCCTGAAGCTTTTGTCGAGAACCTTACAATGTCGGAGCTCGCTTTCGGCCGAACCTTCTTGTGCTCAAAGAACTTCTTCTTACTTTCGGCTTCAGGCTTGGGAAAATTGAAGGACACGAACTCGCCAACACGAAACAGCCTCGCCATGTTTCCTGACAGTCTCAATGCAGCTCTCGACCACTGTTGTTCTTTCCACCTCGGCATCGTTTCCTCCTTCACTCTTAATCTTATTTGCCTCTTCTTCCCCGCCATCGATTGCTCTCCCGAATCATCTAAAGTCTCACTATCATTGCTCACCTCGGCAATTTTTGCTGTCCTAGAAGCCTCAGCTTTTGCGGGAGTTTTGGCGATCCACTGCCGATGGAACATTTTGCCGCACGGGCCTTTGGTGTCAGCGTACATCTAGAGATCCCTGTCGTCGTGATTTACCAACGCTGGGGTTCCTCGCCTTGGTACTGCTCGTCGGAGCCTTAAGCTGGAGCCTCTTCCTATTTGTAAAACCCGGAGTGTCGAGCACAATGTGGGCGGCCACTTGCAAATCGTTCCTCGCCAAGTGTAGCGCGTGGACGAGATCCATGTCGCAGACATCGCTGCCAAGGACATCCCGCACGGCCCGAAAGCTTTCGTTGTCAATGCGGCTTGCCGGCGGAGAAGGCTCCGAAATCCCCATTACCTTGTGCAGCTCCAGAACGCCGATCAAGGCCGCCCCCCAGCGCCATCTCCTCGATCACGCGGGCAATAGAAAACCTACGTCGCCTCCCAAGAAAGAACCCTAGAATGGAGAAGTAGAGACGATAGCGCGGGAAAATGTAGCGGGAAGTTCCAATCAATTGCAGATCACGTCCGGGTGGGAATAGAATGATATGCAGCACCCATCGCCATGATCGCGTTCCAGGAGGTGACTGGGCGATCGTGGATAGAATCTAAGATCTTTCAAGACATCGGTGACAAGATCGCCATGATCCCATCAAAGATCGGCAGAGGAGCCATCTATTCCAAAACGCCTGCATCAACGCCCTACAAGAGACAAGACGATGCCTCATACTCTCAAACAGGCCCAAGACACAAGTACTTTGCGTGCTCAAGGTTTTCTGTTCGTAAAACAAAGAATGATCATTGCTTTTCTTGCGCGCACATCTTCTTGAGGCATCCCGTCAACTAAAACTGTTGCATCTTCCAATGCCTGGTCCCGGCAAGTGCTGCTTCCTGGCAACCACAAACCCACCATGATCAAAACATTCCTCGATCAACTAAAGAAACATCTCTTTTGACTGAGCGTTTTAGGCATACGCTGCGAGGATCAAGTTCTATGCGACCACATCCCTCTTGGATCTCCGCTCAACCGATTTTTCCCAGAAAGATGTTCCAGCGAACATCCGTCGAGCACCCCACAGCTCCCCATACTTTTGGACGATGAGATTGGCGAGGTAGCAATCGTTGCAGTGCTCACCGTGAATCAATCTAGCTCTTATGTCGTGAAGGTCGCTGGGGTTTATGCAAAGATGAACGAATACAGCAAATGCCTGGATGGAAGAACAGCTGCTCAAAACGTTATTATTGAGAGAGAAAGAGAGAGAGAGAGAGAGAGAGAGAGAGAGAGAGCCAGAGTTATGAGAGAGAGTTTTAGTTCGGCATCATCGAAGTTGCAACTTCCACCTTCATTTAAAGATGCGTTGTAGCATGCCTGCCCAAGACACAAGATTCCTGTATGGCTCTGGTCAAATAGGCTCTTTGAGAGCGTATGGTTGACAATCATTGTGTTTCTTGCAAGCACGTTTTTCCTCCGAGGCATCGCATTAAAAGGAGAGTTTTTGCTTCTTCCAAATGCCTTATTCGAGCAGGTGCTGCCAGAAGAGATAGCATCTTTCCTCTTTGCGAAGTCGAGCCCCTTGATCATAATATTTCACGAGAAGCGATCGAATCAAACAGCTTCTTTTCCTCATCCATAAACCTGTTCCCATGGAATCGGGGGCATCCTACGATTTGCAACATACGTTCGCAGCAAGATGTTCCACGAGAACTGGTTTGGTTTGTGCAGGCCATCGAAAATCTGTCAAGGCCTCCCAGCTATTTTGTGTATGAGAGAGAGAGAGAGATAGAGAGCCACAGCTGGCATTGCAAGAGGGAAACGACCTTGACTTGTAGGTCTACAGGCATGGAGGTTGTGGGCTCCTTGGCAAGCGCCTTGTGTGGCTTGGCTCTGCGCCCTGCTAAGAAGATATGGGACTGCAATGCCAACATTGAAACGCTGGAGAACAAGGCGCCCCACATCCGGCACAAGATCAACGCTTTCAGTGATCACAAGCAGCAGAATCCTGGCTTCACGTTCTCTCAAGCGGCCGAGGAATGCTTGGAGCGTGTCAGGAAATGGAACACCACGGCACAAGCACTCTTGGGATCACGCCACAACAGGATCTGGAGCCCCATAAAGCGGTGGGTACAGTAGCATTTTATCTTTTGTGTGTGTGTGTGTGTAGAAATGGCAGGCAGCTGGTTGAACTTCTCCACTTCCTATAGGTACAAGCGGAGTAACGACATCGCGAAGTCCTTAAGTGCCTACGACGATCTCCTGTCGCAGATCCAAGGTCACGAGCATGAGCTGAATGTCCACATTGAGGAGCTAAAGAAGAGGGCATCCAGAATCCAGGCCACGCTTGACAAGTTTAATGCTCCCAAGCACAGGAATCCAGATTTCCGCTACTCTGGTGAGGCTGAGGCGTGGCTGACTGGACTGACTGAATGGACTAAGAAGGCGCAAGCGCTGCTTGGATCACAGTAAGGCTTATTCGAATTCATGTTTGAAGCAATGGAGCTAAAAGATGGATCTTTCGCGCAGGGAGAAGCGATCTGGCGCGATTTCGGAGCTGGTACGCACTTGCGAGAACGATCTCCTCCCGCACATTGAAAGGTACGAGCGAGAAGAGTTGAGAGTGATACGGCCGAGCACCAGCTTTTCCGTACGGAGTTGTCCACAAGACAGAGGTCTCGTAAACTATGTACGGCGTGGTGTTCCCGAGGCCAACGACATGTTTGGCCGCCATGGGGAGCAGCTGGATGAGGTGGTGAATGCCCTCCTGGATCCACAAGCCCCGGGGAAATGGTTTGGACTCCTGGGAATGGGAGGGTGTGGCAAGACCACCCTTGCAAGCTTCGTGCACAATGACCAGAGGGTCCGGCAGCATTTCCATGACAACATTGTATGGATCACTGTCAAGAGAGATGCATCGGAGGATGATCTCAGGGCCCTGCTCCTCGACGCTCTTGAATGGGGCGGCATGAAAGAGAGGGCCCAAAATGCAGGCACCCTTGAGCATGTGCAGCACTTGGCACAAAATGTTGCTCGTGGAATTTGTGTCTTGCTGATACTGGATGATGTGTGGGAAATGAGCCAGGCCAAGGGACTGGATTTTATAGCAGGGCCGTCCTCTTACAGCCGGGTGCTGGTAACAACCAGAAAGAAAGGCATTTTGAGCATGCTGGGTGCAAAGGCACTTCCTGTGCATGAGCTATCAGAGGACGAGAGCAAAATGATGTTTTGGAAGTTTGCCTTTTATGATTCACTACCTAGTGATCCGGACATTGTGAAAGTTGCCGAGAGAATAGCTAGCAAATGTGAGGGGCTCCCTTTAGCTCTTGAAGTGATTGGCAGTGCCATGGCTGAGTACAGGCATGACGGGCCGCAGGTGTGGGAAGAACGCTATCAGAAGATGCATTTGTTGAATGACCCAGACGTTGAGAAGCAGATGTTCCAGCGCTTGAAGTTTAGCTATGACGAGCTGTCTAATAAGGATGAAAAGCTGCAAGAGTGCTTTCTCTATATGGCTGCGTTTCCAGAAGATCGGCGAATCGAGTTTGATGATCTGAGAAAATGTTGGATAGCGGTTGGGTCAGAACTCTCGCCTCTGCAGATTGTTAGTGAACTGGAACGAAGATGCCTAGTGAAGACAACTGATTCTCGATTCAGAGTCGCGGATCAGATTCAATGGTATAAGCATGTAACTGTGCACGATATGGTACGCAAGCTGTGCATAAGAATCTTGAAAGGGAAGTACCCACCCCAGGAAGAGCACGAGAAGGGATGCCTGTTTGGCTATGATTGTCCACCTGGGATTTCTCCAACATGTTCTAAAGTTTCATTCATTGGAAAGAAGGTTACAAGCAGCTTTTTGTCTGACATTCATGTGCGAGATGTCTTGCTTCTCGATGGATGTAAAGTAATTTCTGGTGTGGATGACAGTCTTATTATAGATCACTTCGAAAATGTCAAGGTATTGAGCTTGAATAGATGTTATGATCAGGTCCGTTTTATTCTAGAGAGCATATCCAAGCTGAGAAACCTTCAAGTGCTTGACCTTCGATATTCAGGTGTGCCTCAATTGCCAGATGCGCTCTTCAGCTTGACATCACTGAAGGTTTTGAATTGCAATCATATCAGAAAACTCAACTTTGGATTACTGCCCCAATTATTCAACTTGGAAGAGCTGGAGCTTCATTCCTCTGAGGAGTTAGCTGTGGATTTGAGTGGAATTTCAAGCCTACACAAGCTAAGACATTTAAAGCTAGACCTCTATGGTGCAACACCTATAAAAATACCTCACAGCCTTGGTGCACTAGTGGACATTGAGACACTGGTGTTGCGTGCAAAGAGTATGGACTTAGCCGATTTCACCGGCCCGTGGCAACTTGTCAATCTAAGACGATGTAACATTAGTGTGCAATCGACTATCAAACTTGACTGGAAGCGAATGTTTAAGAATTCCAAACAGCTTCAGGACTTTTCGATTGACGGGGTACAAGACGGTGAAAACAATGCCGAAAGCCTTGAATGGCCACAGCTACAATTTTTAACCATCAGGAGCAATGAGACAATGAAAGACCTGTCTTCGTTAAAGGGTTTTCAATGGCTACGAGAACTTCACCTAGACTGCAGTGGTATCCAGTTCTTCAGTCTGGAAGGATCGTTCCCATGCCTTGAACGTCTGGAGCTTGAATCCTATAAGAAGTTAGCTCTGGCTCTGGATTTGAGTGGAATTTCAAGCCTACACAAGCTAAGACATTTAGAGCTAAAACTCTACAATGCAACAATAAAAACACTGGAGCTTGAATCCTGTAAGGAGTTAGCTGTGGATCTGAGTGCAATTTCAAGGCTACACAAGCTAAGACATTTAGAGCTACATCTCAATGCAACAATAAAAATACCTCACAGCCTTGGTGCACTAGTGGACATTGAGACACTGGTGTTGCGTGCAAAGAGCATGGACTTTGGCGATTTCACCGGCCTGTGGCAACTTGTCAACCTAAGACGATGTCACATTTGCGTGAAATCGACTATCAAACTTGACTGGAAGCGAATGTTTAAGAATTCCAAACAACTTCAGCACTTTACCATTGATGGGGTACAAGACGGTGAAAACAATGCCGAAAGCCATGAATGGCCACAGCTACAATTTTTAACCATCACAAACAATGAGACAATGAAAGACCTGTCTTCGTTAAAGGGCTTTCAATGGCTACGAGAACTTCACCTAGACTGCAGTGGTATCCAGTTCTTCAGTCTGGAAGGATCGTTCCCATGCCTCGAACGTCTGGAGCTTCGAAATCTGCACATTGCACAGTCGGAGTTCAAGGATGATTTGGCAGCAAGTCTTCCAAATCTGAAGAGTTTAACATTCGTTGTGGCTCTTGATAATACATGGGAGCATTTGCCTCTCTTTGTGACACAACTCCCCAAAGACCTTGATACACTGGATGTTGTTATAAAAAGTTACATGAGGAGACTCTTGATGCCAACCGAGAGATCACAGCTGAAGGTGAAATGGTTCACATTATCTTTGCTGAAGGGCTGTATGAGGCAGCTCCCCAATGATTTCTTTGAGCCAACAGACCAGATGACTGCTCTAAGAGGTGTAACCTTGGTTAGGATCGAAAATATTCCATCATCCATTGCATCCCTTCCAGGATTGGAGGAACTTGTGCTCTCTGATCATGATGATGTAGTGTGGCCCCAATTGAGTTCAGACAATCACGGCCTTGGCTTATTTCCCAGGCTCAAAGTCGTATACTGCCCAAAAGGTACGAAAGTTCCACCATGGCTTGAGGAGCGGCCGGATCTCAAGATATACGGGCTCTAGTAAACCTTGCTCCTTCAGTGGACATCGATTGGGTTCTTGAAGATCTGCGCAAATGCTACACTATTTTGCATCACAAGTAGGACATCATAAAACGAAAACAGAGATTTCACAGCGTCAAGAAGAAACAGTTTCTTTTTTTCTTACAAATTGTATTCTCGGGATATTACTTTACTCTCGTGGTTTTAAGTATTTTAAAACCTAAATGGTAAAATATAGAAAACATAGGAATATTAAGAATATGATCTCTCTCGATCCTGATTGGTTTGGTTTGTGGAAGCCATCCACACATTCCCCATACTTTTGGACAATGAAGTTGGCAGCTGGATAAGACAATCAAAGGGTTGCACAGCTTCGAAGTTGCATCGCTGCCAAGGATTGGAAACTCTTGTGATTAGTGTCAATCACAGCCTTTGCTTATTTTCAACCCAGACTTGCGGAATCGAGAAAAACTAGGCATGTTGTGACACAATTCTCGTCAACTAGCAATCCATTAGAAACGAAGAAAATTTAATAATACACAAACACAAGAATTTGCGCACTACTAGTAGTAAGATACAAGATCGAAGAAGAAAATTTATTTCGTAGCAAAAATAAAAAAAAAATTTGAGAAGGGAAAAAATCCAAGGCCAACGATCGAAAGGAGAGAGTAAAAATAAAAAGAAATTAAAAAAAAACATATAAAATGAAAACGAAAACACTTATGGATAGAGGGACAGTAGTAGTAGATCAATTGTTATTTGTAATGTCGATCGTGTCTGGAAGATAGCTGCTGCCAGAAGTTAAATGTGAGCTTGAAACATCACAAGAAGAAACAAGAGCCGTGTTCCCGGGAGCTCTTCTCGAAAAGGGACTCAAGCTTCGAGAAGAACTTCCTTCTCCGGACCTCCCCTTCTTCGGTTGGTATAAGCTCGTCGTAGGGGAATGACGCGTCTGGACTCCCTGAAACGGTTCTCCTTCGGCTGTAACCAGAGATACAAACTCATGAAAATAAAGAAAGAAAAAAAGCAAGCACAAACCTTGTAAAACTGTGGAGCTTTACCCTCACGACGGTGACCGTCAATTTGTAGCTCCTCGAGTTCTAGAGAGGTCGTCACGCCTTCTTCTTCCAAAGCATCTAGATTATGGAGCCTCTGTTTGGACTCCTCAAAAGCCGCACCAACGGAAGAGTTTTGCGTACTTCCCGATGGCAAGCCTGGACGTTCAAGTTGAGATGCCAAAGACCGTGCCTTTGGAACCTTGTAGTCCGGTTTTTTCTCCACTGGAAATGCTGCCTTTGAGTCAGCCTGTTTTATCATCCATTCCTGTTGATGTTTTCTCCTAGCATTCGACTAAGTCCCGTTTGAAGATATCGCCTCTCATTTACCGCAATCCACTGGCCAACAGCACCCCGACCACCGCACGACCGGTACCTCGACGCCTTCCCGCACCTCTAAAGTCATCGCCTCCGGGCTCAACTTCGGCCTCTCCATTTACGTATCTCCCACGATAGTCCTGTAGTCTTCCGGATGCTGAGTTTGTCCTTGGCTTATCATTTGTCTTAGAGTCGTTATAGGCGTAGCCGTTTAAAGGCAGTGCGAGGCGGCAGGCTCCGATCCCCTTCGCTTCAAAAGTGCGAAACCAGCAGCTCCACCGCCATCGACTTCCCGGGACACCTCGTTCACTTCAACGCCAAAGCTCCGGGCTGACGTCTTGCGTTTGCTTTCTCCGTCAAACAAAGTGTGGCCTGACGACGGAAGAGCAGCCCACAAACGTCCAAGGAGGTCATTTGGACTCTGCGGAGGAGAAACGACATGACGCCTCGGCGGTCCTATGGGGCCGTGAACAGCAGATGGACTTCCTTTCTTTGATGGCTCTCCAGAATCTCCACTGTCCTGTGTAGCATCCACCTTTGTGGAGGCTGTGGGCTTCACACGACCAGGACCACCCTGTAACAACTGAAGGAGCTCGGAACCATTGCCGTGGAATTGTTGCTTGTCATCCTTCGCAGGTGTAACCGATCTCCTCGGCTGCTCTGGGGCGCGTTTGGAGTCCGAGGTCTCTGCTGCGCTGGGTCCAAACACCGGAGACTCGAAGTGAAGGCCAGGACGAGCTTTAAGCTCCCCAGAGGAATGCGGCGGATGAACCACATTAGCAGCAGGCTGGAAAGTCGGAGCGTTTGGAAAAGGATACGGAACGGTCTCTCGACTGGAAGAGGACCAAGAATGGATCCGAAGGGAAAAGTGGGTCTTGGTGCTGCTGGAAGTGAGGTGACCACCCACCAAATCTTATTGCTGGGACGTAGAGTGGTCCTCCTCCAGGTCCTCCAGAAGGAACAAAGCTGTGGCAGGGACCGTGAGCTGCGACTGCTGGGTCTTGTAGCTGCTACTGCTCCTCAGCTGCTCGTCGCCCCCACCGCTCTTGAGAAAATGGAGTAGCAAATCGCCGCTGGGAGACGACACATCCACGCCCAGTTCATCCTCGGCCTGAGTAGTGGCAGTCAAGGCGGACAAGCTGGGTAGAGTGGTCGTGGAGGAGGACCTTCTCCTCCTCCTCCAGGTCCTCCAGAAGGAGCAAAGCTGTGGCAGGGACCGTGAGATCATATGCTTGCATGAATCTAGATCAGCTACTCCGGCTCTAGGCCAGCGAAATCGCGGCGCGGTGCCGGCGCTGGCGCTGCTGCTGCTTCTCGAGGTGATCCTAGCATGCATACCTTGCTCGTCGCCGCTTGCGACGCGATCGCCTGCTCCTTCGCTGTCCGCCATAGCCGCGAAGAAACCTAGAAGTGCTTGTACCCTAGCCAAAGCTCCTATACCCATAGCCCATGACACATTCATTCATTGAACTATCCGAAGAATATACGCGCCGATGCTAGAAGCATATTCCCCTCTTTAACTATGTACACTGATATAAGTTAAAAAAAATGCGAAGGACTCCAGTTCTCATCTAAATAGCATTTTGAGCTCCTCGATTCGAGCGCTTCGCACCTCTTCGTCTGTGAGAGCCCCCGCGATCAATCGTTGCTTCCTCGCTTGGACCTGTTGCATTCTCTCCTCCACCGAGTCCTGCTCTAGAGACATGAGAAACGTCAAAGAGAGTTTCAAGTGGCGCTTACTTTGATGATGAATCGCTTGATCGATACGTTCTTCGTCTGACCGATGCTCGCTCGTCCACATTCTCGGCACTCACGGCACTTTCAATGTAAGAACTGCGTCCTCTGGCATCTCCAAAAAAATTGGGCACTCAGCACTTTCTCCTTCACGAATATCATCCACCACCTCTTTGACATACGCCGTCGAAGGCACCTGGGAGGAATTCTTGTCCAAGAAACGTAGCCAGCTTTCCCAGGTCTGCAAAGTCTTCAGTATCGCCACGGCTGCGTGACGAAGAAAACGTCAGGAACTTCAGACATAAGAGGATGCATTTTCTACCTCAGAACAAGAAAAGGATGATCACAAGCTTGCCGTAATCGAAGTAGCAGTTCGAGGATCGAGGCATAGTTATGGAGAACTTTACCTTGTTCAACGAACTGATCGAATTTTACCTGATCACAAACGCAAAATCGTGTTCAGAAAAAAGAGAAAATAAAAGAAAGAGAAGTTCTTCATGCCTTAGATCTGTGGTAAAGGGCATCATAAAAATTACGTTCAGGCTCAGATAGTTTGCATTCAATAACTTCACATTGAGTCGGTTGGAGAACAAGAATTGGTCTGTGAATCCAACTTGTGAGTGAATACAAGACAAGGCACGGTGCAAAGAAAAAAATGCTTACCTTCCTTCTTTATCAGTTGAATCTTTTGTTCTTCGAAGCATTAACGGCTTCAAGATAGCTTGCAGAAGCTTCAATCCGCGCTCATCCCCCTCCTCGTAAGGCTTTAAACTCTGCAAGCACATCATATACGTAACGTCTCTGGTAAACACAGAAAACTCTACCTCAAATGGAGAACTATGCTGCTCATAAGAGAAAGAGCCTCTGGTGCCATTTTGCACTTCCCAAAGGTATCACCAGTCGGCTGGAAGCCGTCCTCTCTGTGAGCAAATGGTTAGAATTAAAACGAAGAAACAAGTCAAGTGAAACGTACCTCTCCTGCAGCTTTTGTCAAGAACCTTACAATGTCGGAGCTCGCTTTCGGCCGTACCTTCTTGTGCTCAAAGAACTTCTTCTTACTTTCGGCTTCAGGCTTGGGAAAATTGAAGGACACGAACTCGCCAACACGAATCCGGCATCCCCTGGACGTCGAGTACCCGGCAACTTCAGTCTCTTGGAGAAGCCACCACCTCTCTGCATCTAAAACAACCGGTTGCTTCTCTGCAGCTTTAGCCGTGTCATTTTCTATTGGAACCACCTTCGCTTCAGACAAATGGGCAGCTGTACCACCCCCGAATGGAGTTTCAACTTTCACAGTATCATAACCAGGTTCCATCTTCACTGAGCCAACCGGAGCTTCGGCTCTTGCAGACTCAAAACCAGCTTCCATCTTCCATCTTCATAGGATCACATCCAGCTGCGATTGAAACCGAAGCTTCAGCTTTCACGGAACCACAACCAGCTTCCATCTTAACGGGATTACCGTGGGTCAAGGCACTACCACTGATTGAAAGTCCAGCTAAGGCGCTAGAAACAGCCTCGCCATGTTTCCTGACAGTCTCAATGGAGCTCTCCACCACTGTTGTTCTTTCCACCTCGGCATCGTTTCCTCCTCCAGTCATGATCTTGTTTACCTCTTCTTCTCCACCATCGATTGCTCCACTTTCTACTCCCGAATCATATAAATCCTCTGCTCCACTATCATTGCTCATCTCGGCAATTTTTGCTGTCCTAGAAGCCTCAGCTTTTGCAGGAGTTTTTGGCGATCCACTGCCGATGGAACATTTTGCCGTAGGGGCCTTTGTTGTCACCGTAGATCTAGAACTCCCTACCAACGCTGGGGTTCCTCGCCTTGGCACTGCTCGTCGGAGCCTTACGCTGGAACCTCTTCCTATTTCTAAAACCCGGAGTGTCGAGCACAATGTGGGCGGCCACTTGCAAATCGTTCCTCGCCAAGTGTAGCGCGTGGACGAGATCCATGTCGCAGACATCGCTGCCAAGGACATCCCGCACGGCCCGAAAGCTTTCGTTGTCAAGGAGACGGCGCTGGGGATTTCTGAGCCTTCTCCGCCGGCAAGCCGCATCGATCACGCGGGCAATTAAAAACCTACATCCCCTCCAAGAAAGAACCCTAGAATGGAGAAGTAAAGACGATAGCGCGGGAAACTAAGTCCCAATCAATTGCAGATCACGTCCGGGTGGGAATAGAATGATATGCAGCACCCATCGCCATGATCGCGTTCCAGGAGGCGACGGGGCGATCGTGGATCGAATCTAAGATCTTTCAAGACGTCGGTGACAAGATCGCCATGATCCCATCAAAGATCGGCAGAGGAGCCATCTATTTCAAACCGCCTGCATCAACGCCGTACAAGAGACAAGACGATGCCTCATACTCTCAAACAGGCCCAAGACACAAGTACTTTGCGTGCTCAAGGTTTTCTGTTCGTAAAACAAAGAATGATCATTGTTTTTCTTGCGCGCACATCTTCTTGAGGCATCCCGTCAACGAAAACTGTTGCATCTTCCAATGCCTGGTCCCGGCAAGTGCTGCTTCCTGGCAACCACAAACCCACCATGATCAAAACATTCCTCGATCAACTAAAGAAACATCTCTTTTGACTGAGCGTTTTAGGCATATGCTGCAAGGATCAAGTTCCATGCGACCACATCCCTCTTGGATCTCCGCTCAACCGATTTTTCCCAGAAAGATGTTCCAGCGAACATCCGTCGAGCACCCCACAGCTCCCCATACTTTTGGACGATGAGATTGGCGAGGTAGCAATCGTTGCAGTGCTCACCGTGAATCAATCTAGCTCTTATGTCGTGAAGGTCGCTGGGGTTTATGCAAAGATGAACGAATACAGCAAATGCCTGGATGGAAGAACAGCTGCTCAAAACGTTATTATTGAGAGAGAAAGAGAGAGACACAGAGGGAGAGAGAGAGAGAGGGAGCCAGAGTTATGAGAGAGAGTTTTAGTTCGGCATCATCGAAGTTGCAACTTCCACCTTCATTTAAAGATGCGTTGTAGCATGCCTGCCCAAGACACAAGATTCCTGTATGGCTCTGGTCAAATAGGCTCTTTGAGAGCGTATGGTTGACAATCATTGTGTTTCTTTCAAGCACGTTTTTCCTCCGAGGCATCGCATTAAAAGGAGAGTTTTTGCTTCTTCCAAATGCCTTATTCGAGCAGGTGCTGCCAGAAGAGATAGCATCTTTCCTCTTTGCGAAGTCGAGCCCCTTGATCATAATATTTCACGAGAAGCGATCGAATCAAACAGCTTCTCTTCCTCATCCATAAACCTGTTCCCATGGAATCGGGGGCATCCTACGATTTGCAACATACGTTCGCAGCAAGATGTTCCACGAGAACTGGTTTGGTTTGTGCAAAAATCTGTCAAGGCCTCCCAGCTATTTTGTGTATGAGAGAGAGAGAGAGAGAGAGAGCCACAGCTGGCATTGCAAGTTACTTGTAGGTCTACAGGCATGGAGGTTGTGGGCTCCTTGGCAAGCGCCTTGTGTGGCTTGGCTCTGCGCCCTGCTAAGAAGATATGGGACTGCAATGCCAACATTGAAACGCTGGAGAACAAGGCGCCCCACATCCGGCACAAGATCAACGCTTTCAGTGATCACAAGCAGCAGAATCCTGGCTTCACGTTCTCTCAAGCGGCCGAGGAATGCTTGGAGCGTGTCAGGAAATGGAACACCACGGCACAAGCACTCTTGGGATCACGCCACAACAGGATCTGGAGCCCCATAAGGCGGTCGGTACAGTAGCATTTTATCTTTTGTGTGTGTGTAGAAATGGCAGGCAGCTGGTACAAGCGGAGTAACGAGATCGCGAAGTCCTTAAGTGCCTACGGCGATCTCCTGTCGCAGATCCAAGGTCACGAGCATGAGCTGAATGTCCACATTGAGGAGCTAAAGAAGAGGGCATCCAGAATCCAGGCCACGCTTGACAAGTTTAATGCTCCCAAGCACAGGAATCCAGATTTCCGCTACTCTGGTGAGGCTGAGGCGTGGCTGACTGAACTGACTGAATGGACTAAGAAGGCGCAAGCGCTGCTTGGATCACAGTAAGGCTTATTCGAATTCATGTTTGAAGCAATGGAGCTAAAAGATGGATCTGTCGCGCAGGGAGAAGCGATCTGGCGCGATTTCGGAGCTGGTACGCACTTGCGACAACGATCTCCTCCCGCACATTGAAAGGTACGAGCGAGAAGAGTTGAGAGTGATACGGCCGAGCACCAGCTTTTCCGTACGGAGTTGTCCACCAGACAGAGGTCTCGTAAACTATGTACGGCGTGGTGTTCCCGAGGCCAACAACATGTTTGGCCGCCATGGGGAGCAGGTGGATGAGGTGGTGAATGCCCTCCTGGATCCACAAGCCCCGGGGAAATGGTTTGGACTCCTGGGAATGGCAGGGTGTGGCAAGACCACCCTTGCAAGCTTCGTGCACAATGACCAGAGGGTCCGGCAGCATTTCCATGACAACATTGTATGGATCACTGTCAAGAAAGATGCATCGGAGGATGATCTCAGGGCCCAGCTCCTCAACGCTCTTGGAAAGAGAGGGCCCAAAATGCAGGCACCCTTGAGCATGTGCAACAGATGGCACAAAATGTTGCTCGTGGCAACCATGTCTTGTTGATACTGGATGATGTGTGGAACACGAGCTGGGCAAAAGGACTGGATTTTATAGCAGGGCCGTCCTCTTACAGCCGGGTGCTGGTAACAACCAGAAAGGAAGGCATTTTGAGCATGCTGGGTGCAAAGGCATTTCCTGTGCATGAGCTATCAGAGGCCGAGAGCAAAAAGATGTTTTGGAAGTTTGTCTTTTATGATTCACTACCTAGTGATCCGGACATCGTGAAAGTTGCCGAGAGAATAGCTCATGAAGTGATTGGCAGTGCCATGGCTGTCTACAGGAATGAGGGGCCACAGGTGTGGAAAGAACGCTATCAGAAGATGCATTTGTTGAATAACGAGGACATTCAGAAGCGGATGTTCCAGCGCTTGAAGTTTAGCTATGACGAGCTGGGACGCTTTAATAAGGATGAAAAGCTGCAAGAGTGCTTTCTCTATGTGGCTGCGTTTCCAGAAGATAAGCGAATCCAGTTTGCTGATCTGAGAAAATGTTGGATAGCGGTTGGGTCAGAACTCTCGCCTCTGCAGATTGTTAGTGAACTGGAACGAAGATGCCTAGTGAAGACAACTGATGATCGATGGTATAAGTATGTAACTGTGCACGATATGGTACGCAAGCTGTGCATAAGAATCTTGAAAGGGAAGTACCCACCCCAGGAAGAGCACGAGAAGGGATGCCTGTTTGGCTATGATTGTCCACCTGGGATTTCTCCAACATTTTCTAAAGTTTCATTCATTGGAAAGAACGTTACAAGCAGCCTTTTGTCTGACATTCATGTGCGAGATGTCTTGCTTCTCGATGGATGTAAAGTAATGGATGACAGTCTTATTATAGATCACATCCAAAATGTCAAGGTATTGAGCTTGAGGAGTTCCTGGGATTTGGTCCGTTTTATTCCAGAGAGCATATCCAAGCTGAGAAACCTTCAAGTGCTTGACCTTCGATTTGTATTTGTGACGACAATATTCCCAGATGCGCTCTTCAGCTTGACATCACTGAAGGTTTTGAAATGCAATGGGATTAGAAAATTCAACTTTGCATTACTGCCCCAATTATTCAACTTGGAAGAGCTGGAGCTTCATTCCGATAAGGAGTTAGCTGTGGATTTGAGTGGAATTTCAAGCCTACACAAGCTAAGACATTTATATCTACAATTCTTGTCTGCGATAAAGATACCTCACAGCCTTGGTGCACTAAAGGACATTGAGACACTGGAGTTGTATGCAAAGAGCATGGACTTTGGCGATTTCACCGGCCTGTGGCAACTTGTCAATCTAAGACGATGTCACATTGGGGTGCAATCGACTATCAAACTTGACTGGAAGCGAATGTTTAAGAATTCCAAACAGCTTGAGAACTTTACCATTAATGGGGTACAAGACGGTGAAAACAATGCCGAAAGCCTTGAATGGCCACAGCTACAATTTTTATCCATCATAAACAATGAGACAATGAAAGACCTGTCTTGGTTAAAGGGCTTTCAATGGCTACGAGAACTTTACCTAGACTGCAGTGGTATCCAGTTCTTCAGTCTGGATGGATCGTTCCCATGCCTGGAGCTTGAATCTTGTAAGGAGTTAGCTGTGGCTGTGGATTTGAGTGGAATTTCAAGCCTACACAAGCTAAGACATTTATCGCTAAAGCTCGACAATGCAACAATAAAAATACCTGGTGCACTAGAGAACATTGAGATACTGCTGTTGAAGGCAAAGAGCATGGACTTTGCCGATTTCACCGGCCTGTGGCAACTTGTCAATCTGAAACAATGTTATATTAGGGTGAAATCGACTATCAAACTTGACTGGAAGCCAATGTTTAAGAATTCCAAACAGCTTCAACACTTTTCGATTAACGGGGTACAAGACGGTGAAAACAATGCCGAAAGCCTTGAATGGCCACAGCTACAATTTTTAAGTATCACAAACAATGAGACAATGAAAGATCTGTCTTGGTTAAAGGGCTTTCGATGGCTACAAGAACTTTACCTAGACTGCAGTGGTATCCAGTTCTTCAGTCTGGATAAACATCTGGAGCTTCGAAATCTGCACATTGCACAGTCGGAGTTCAAGGATGATTTGGCAGCAAGTCTTCCAAACCTGAAGAGTTTAACATTCTATCTGGCTCCTGATAATACATGGGAGCATTTGCCTCCCTTTATGACACAACTCCCCAAAGACCTTGGTGAACTGAGAGTAGAAGGTTACATGAGGAGACTCTTGATGCCAACCGAGAGATCACAGCTGAAGGTGGAACGGTTCACATTATCTTTGCGGAAGGGCTGTATGAGGCAGCTCCCCAATGATTTCTTTGAGCCAACAGACCAGATGACTGCTCTAAGAGATGTAACCTTGGATAGGATCGAAAATATTCCATCATCCGTTGCATCCCTTCCAGGATTGGAGACACTTGTGCTCTCTGATCATGATGATGTAGTGTGGTCCCAATTGAGTTCAGACAATCACGGCCTTGGCTTATTTCCCAGGCTCAAAGCCCTACACTGCCAAAAAGGTACGAAAGTTCCACCATGGCTTGAGGAGCGGCCGGATGTCCAGATAAAATTCAGGGATTAAACCTTGCTCCTTCAGTGGACATCGATTGGGTTCTTGAAGGTCTGCGCAAATGCTACACTATTTTGCATCACAAGCAGAAAAAACGAAAACAGAGATTTCACAGCGTCAGCAGCGTTTGGAGAAGAAACAGTTTCTTTTTTTTCTTACAAATCGATATTACTTTACTTTCGTGGTTTTGAGTATTTTAAAACCTGGTGTATAGAATAAATGGTAAAATATGGAAAACATAACAATATTAAGAATATGCACTTTTCGAGATCAATGTAGCGATCTCTCTCGATCCTGATTGGTTTGGTTCGTGCAAGCCATCCACATCGCCACATTCCCCATACTTTTGGACAATGAAGTTGGCGGCTGAATAAGACAATGAAAGGTTGCACAGCTTCGAAGTTGCATAGCTGCCAAGGATTGGAAACTCTTGTGATGCAGTGTCAATCACAGCCTTCACTTTCCACCCAGACTTGTGGAATCGAGAAAAACTAGGCATGTTGTGACCCAATTCTTGTCAACTAGCAATCCATTAGAAACAAAGAAAATTTAATAATACAAACACAAGAATTTGCGTACTACTAGTAGTAACTAGATATGCCAAGAACAATGAAAGGGAAGTTCTCTGGATCGGAGGGACTTGCCTGTGGAGGAGTTTTAGAAGCTGATAATTAGGAGCAAAATTCAAGCATTTCATTAGAAGAAATCGAAAGCATAGCGAGAAAGCAACCCGCTTTCTATTTACACATTAGGTAAATATCCAGCCAGTGAGACCACGCATGATCTCCAGGTGTCTGCAAGGATCTTACCTCGAAGCTGCACCATTACGTGGTATTCAAACACTGAGATGTTCAAAACATCTCGGAGTTTGACAAACTGCCCCTCCGGTAAAGCTTTGGTGAAGATATCTGCTAGCTGTCGAGAAGTCGGGAGAAACTCAAGTAGAATTTCTCCTGAAGCTACCTTCTCCCGAATAAAATGATGTTGTAGCTCGATGTGTTTAGACCGAGCATAAAAAACCAGGTTCTTAGCTAGTTGAATAGCGCTCTTGTTGTCACAAAAGAGCATCGTTGGGGAACGTTGGTCTTGGTGGAGCTCATGCAGCATATGACGTAAACAAACCACTTCTCGAGTAGCAAAAGATGTTGCCACATATTCTGCCTCAGTACTTGATAAAGCAATAGTTGCTTGTTTTTTGCTTGTCCAGGAAACTGGTGCACTGCTCAGGATACAACAGATCCCGGTAGTTGAGTGTCTTGAGTCCTGGTCACTTGCCCAATCAGCATCAGCATAAGCTTGAAGGATCAGTGTCTCAGCACCGGTGTGCCTGTAAACAAGATCATAGTCAACAGTATCAGCCAGATACCGGTGAACCCGTTTAGCAGCCTGCCAATGAACTGAAGTAAGTGACAAACTAAACCGGCTCAAGAACGAAACTGGAAAAGCAATATCCGGTCATGTGTTGTTGGTGAGATGCAAAAGACCATCAATCAAAGAATGACATATGAATGAAATATGAAATTTTTATAATAGTAGTCCCACTAGTTAAAAGTACAATTCAATAGATAAAGTTTAATCTTTGGACTAACTTTTTTCCACAACTCCTTAAGTTAAGTTTATAATATTTTAGTAATCACATATAACATATTTTGTAATTGGACTGAATGATATATGTATGAGATTTAAATAATTATCATTGAAAACACTTATGTCTTCATACTGAAGAGGTTGATGAATAAAATTTATTAATTTGTCAATAAAATTAATAATTTTACACATAAATATAATTTATGTTATTTAGAAAATAAAATTTTGGATCATCATGATATATTAATGATATTAGGGAATTAATAATAAAAAGTTAAGAGTAAAATATTTAGCCATATAATTCTTATATTTTAAAGTATTTAGTCTTATCATTATTAAAAACGTTTTTATTTTGCTTTTATCAAAATTTAATTTTGTTAAGGATAGTAAAAAATTTAAGGAGTAATTAATTCTATATTTTTAGAATATTTAAATATATTTTATGATATGTAATAGTTAAAAGTTTTGTTTCCAAATAAATCTTGAGCTGGCCTTCTAATCCAATATCTACATTTTTGATCTTTTATGTAAATTTATTATTAAAACTTTAATTTAAGAAGTATTTTCAAGTTATCATATACAAATTTACTACTAAAATACTGATTTAAAACCATACAATCTTACTGCAATGAAATAGACCACCGAAATAATGACATCAATTTTTAACATGCAATTGAACCACCAAAAATTATTAATTAATAGAAAGCAATCTTTATTCTTCTTTGAGCTACTAAATTTTGACATATTGATATATTATTAAATTTTGTTATACAATTGTCAATGCATAGGCAAAACATGCATGGTTATGTATCTGAATTAATATAAATTCATAAAATTCAAGAATAAAAATTTATCTATAGCATATAATGCTTATAAAGGCTAAAGCCTTTGATGATTAATGAAGACAAAATTGCTTCATTAAAGGATACTTTTCCTTTACAAGGAGATGTGGTTACAACCAAGATGAGGATGATGGATGAGGCTTGGGGCTTCTACATATAGATGAAATTGTCACAGTAGCATGAACTCCCTCTTAGTGGAGGCGTTGTGCAAGATCTTCCAGGAAGACAAGCCTTTCCCAACAGCAAGATGTATTTTACAATCATTAATGGAGAGAAAAACATGGAAGAAGAATATGATCACACTAAGAAGTGCTTAGGAAGATTGTGCCTGATGACTTTGAACAGAGAGCTCCAGGCACGAAAGATATGGGTAAGTAGCACAAACATAGTGTTTTGAATGGATCTGACGGAATGTTACAGTGCCGTTGACTTAAGCAGTGTTTTTGACTAAAGATTTTGACCAACTGAAGCAATGTCCAACTCAATCAAACAGGCCAGCACGGCGTCATAGCTTCTTTCTTGTATAGAACAAACTAATCCCTATAAAAATGTGTGTCTCTTCATTTCTTCAAGAGTTTCCACACTTGCTTTCTTTCGCCATGATGAAGAACTGCATCTCATAATAGTTGCAATCCTGGTAATCATTCTCAATCATGGCGTTGCAATGCGCCCCATTGGAAGACCCCTGAAGTGTTCTACAAGCGAAAGAAACCTCCATGATCGTTGTAGCAAAATAAGAATGCGAATCATCCAAGAAAACATCTTAAAAAGCTTTCACGTAGAATAAGTGAATCTCCTCCAGCTATGCTAGATCAAAGTTAGAGCGGATTCCACGGTAGCTAGCGACAATGCCCTAAATATTTGGTACTAGCTATAGCAAGAATGAGCACGATGTGTTCTTCCTCGTTATTTCCTAGAACTATTTCCCCTCCGGCGAGGAGCGCAATATTTAGGTTTGTGGTCGCGAGGTCCTTCGCAGGGAGCGCGGCGATGGCGGATGATAGCAAGAAAAAGACGCAAGCTCCATTCGGCTCCTGGAAATCTCCCTTCACCGCCGAGGTCGTGTCGGGAGCATCACTGCGCCTTGGAGGGTTCGCGACCGATGCGAATGGAAATCTTCTCTGCGTGGAAGGAAGGCCAGCGGAAGCCGGGTAGGCGTCTATAGCATCAGCATTGCAAGGAACACTCTAGTTTTTCTCAGTTGAGAGCATGCATTTTCATTTTCTCTACAAAGATCTCTAGCGCTTAGAAATGAGGATTTTCTTCCTTGTTTACAGGCGATGCGTTCTTGTAAAGAAGGATGGGAATGGGCGAGTGGAAGATATCACTCCTTCTGGATTTAATGTTCGTTCCACCGTCCATGAGTATGGTGGCGGAGCATTTACAGTGGAGGGAGAGACCGCTGTGTTCTCAAACTTCTCCGATCAGCGTCTTTACAGGCAGTCTTTGATTGGAGGTAAGCTAAGCTTTTTTTCCTTCTTTTTCCTATGTATCTTTCTGATTTTAGAGCTGTGATGGACAGAGCGTTCTCCGGTTCCTCTTACCCCAGCTTATGAAGGTCCAGTTGTACGCTATGCTGATGGGAGGTTCGATATTAGTCGAGGTCGATATATCACTGTTCGTGAAGGTACTCACAATGGATTTTCAAGTTTCTTTGCAGTGCATTGCTGTTTCTAATGTTTTGTAGATCATAGACAAGGAAAGGAACCGGTGAATGATATAGTTAGCGTTGATCTGAAAAGTACCGCTCTTGCTGGTAAGTTCCTTGGATTCTCAGCAGGCATTTGTTCATCTGTGTACATCGGTGGTTTTCTGCAGAACCGGAAGTTCTCGTCTCTGGGAATGATTTTTATGCTTTTCCCAGACTGAGTCCCGACGGCCGTAAGCTAGCCTGGATTGAATGGTCCCATCCAAACATGCCTTGGGACTCTACTTATCTCTACGTTGGCGACATCGGCAAAGACGGGTTAGTGTTTTTGCTCTTTTTTCCTTTCTAAAGGCGTTGCCTGCAGGAAAATAACAAAAAGAGTTTGTGTAGCTGGAAACGACGGTGCAAAAGAAGCTGTTACAGAACCTAAATGGTCTCCCGAAGGTATCTGAACTTTGTGCATTGTCTCTGAAACATTAATTTTTGGTTTCAGGGGAACTCTTCTTTGCATCTGACAGAGGAAGAGGTTTTTGGAACCTGTATCATTGGGTAGGCACATTCTTTTCTATCTGTGGAGCACTATATATCGCCTTGACCAGGTTGAAAGCGAGAACAAATGCGAGCCGGTGTACTCTCTAGACGCGGAATTTACAAGACCGGCATGGATCTTTGGCAACAGTTCCTACGGATTCTTTAATTCTTCTTTAGGAACACGTATTATCTGCACATATAGGTGGTGCTTGGATTTTCCTTAACCGAGAGTGACCCTGCGATTTTTTGTTTTTTTTGTTTTTTCTTTTCCAGGGAACGTGGAAATTCACGGTTAGCGATAGTGGATATATCTCCTTCTAGGTCCATCTATCCAGTAGAAACCCCGTTCGATGCAATTTATAATCTGGTATGATGTTTTCAAGAGCCACTGCTTCTTTGTCACTTACAATGTCTGCAGGCAGTAAGTGGTGACACCTTACTAATGAGTGCTGGGTCTCCAAAGCATCCAGTTTCTATCGTAAAGGTATTAGATTGTTTTTAGTCTTGACCATTTGAAATTCATGCTTAATGAACAGATGGATCTGAAAAACTCGGACGCAGATCCTGGTTCAATCATCTGGTCCTCAGAAGCAATGGACTTAGATAAATATCAAGAGTACATCAGTGTTCCAAGGATTATCGAGTTCCCTACTGAAGTTCCTGGGGAGACTGCATTCGTCAACTTCTATCCACCATCTAATGGAGACTACGAAGCCCCGCCGGAAGAGAAGCCTCCGCTTCTAGTGCGATCTCACGGTCTAATTCATTTTCGATCCATAAGGAGCGTTCTAATGTTTTTGTCTTGCACAGGTGGACCTACGGCGGAGTCGGACACAACCTTGCAGTTAGCCATTCAATTTTGGACAAGTCGTGGCTGGGCTTTTGCGGACGTAAACTATGGCGGAAGTACAGGTATCATTGATTTGATTTTATTCCATGGGAACTGATATTCGTCTGTGAAGGTTACGGGAGACAATACAGGGAAAGGCTGAATGGAAAGTGGGGAATCGTGGACGTTGGTGATTGCTGCAGCTGTGCATCACATCTGGTAACTATTCTCCCTTTTTCTGCTCTGTTGTTTGATCTTTCAACCTTCAGGTAGCCTCTGGTGAGGTTGATGAAAGTCGGCTCTGTATAGATGGTCGTTCAGCGGGGGGTTATACTACACTAGCCGCACTGGCCTTTCGCGATACGTTTAAAGCCGGTGCTTCTCTCTATGGGGTACATTTTATTTTCTCCTGGGTGATCTTTAATCCTGTGAATGCTTCAGGTGAGTGATCTGGAGTCCCTTATGACGGATACTCACAAATTTGAGTCACGCTACCTGACTTCCCTTATCGGTTCGTTGCGTATTTCTTTCCCAGTTGTCTCTCTAAAGTCGTGTGTCGTTACAGGAGATTCCAAAGCCTTCCACGACCGCTCTCCAATTCACTATCCCGAGCGTTTCTCGTGCCCGCTTATTCTGTTTCAAGGGCTCGATGACAAGGTACGAGTAAACAGCAAAAGCTTTGCGTTTCTAAACTGCGACAATGCAGGTGGTGCCGCCGAACCAAGCTCGTATGATTTACGAAGCCGTGAAGTCCAAAGGCATCCCGGTTGCACTGGTGGAATACGAAGGCGAGCAGCATGGCTTCCGAAAGGTACGCTAGAATCAAATTCTTCCGTTTTGAATTGTATTTCCCGTGTCCATTGCAGGCTGAAAATATCAAGTACACACTGGAACAAGAGATGCTCTTCTTTGCACGTTTAATTGGAGGGTTTCTTCCGGCTGATAAGATAGATCCCGTTCATGTCGATAATTTTCCCTCCAAGTAAGTGAAGGATGCAAAAGCGACTCGTGCTTAGAGTCTGGAGCTTTTATTCCTTCTCCTTTGGATTACATTTTCTAGGGAAACACTCTCGTTTCGTCCTTCTCCTTGCTCTTGTCATCCATGTCCTTTCCTTTCTTCTCCTCCCTCTTGTCATCCTTGTCTTCCTTGTGTTCCTCCTTGCTCTTGCCATCCTTCTCCTTGTTCTCATTCTTTGAATCTACATGATCATCACCATTACACTTGAAGTTGATATTGATGTTGATGTTGTTGCCATTGTCGTTCTGCTTCATGTGCTTGCCTTGCTGAAGATCATCACCATCTTCTCCAAAAGAAGGCAAAAGAGAATCAGAAGCTAGTGGATCCTGCTGTTCATGAACTCCACGGACGGACAAGAGCTCCCTCCTTGAAGAAGACAAAGTAACCTTGAATACAAGCACAAGAAACACTAGAGCAGCCTTCATGGTGAGATGAGAACTTTCAAATTGTATGCTTGCTTTGAGCCTAGGTTTGATTCATATTTATATGGTTCAGCATGCATTGCAGACTGTGCCAAGTGTGATCTACCACCATGCAATTATACTGTCATTTTTTATCTATACAAAGTATTTAAAATCAATGTTTTGTAGCAAGATTAGAGGAAAAAGGTTTAGATCTTTGCTCAAATCAACAAAATGGGGAATGCTCACCAACCACTTGCAATAAAATCCAAGGACTTGGGAGAGGGTTTCAGACCGAAAGGGCTGCAGAAAAACGTTTTCATCCACGCCAAGAATATGTTTTCTAGTGGTCAGTTATGATGACAGCATATGCCCGGAACGAGCTTATCTTGATCGAGATCCTGTTGCATGGAAGACAAAGCTTGGAGTGTACTCACAACACGATCATGTAAAGCAAATATTTTTTTTTATCTGATTCCAGATCCTCTTTTTGTCATGCATATGCCCAAATCGGGTATATTTGATATTTAGATTATGCTCACTTACAGAAGATCTCTCGATCCCGAATCCGCAAAGGCGCAGCCCTCGCGGCGTGCTCAGCGGTGAGAGGGGATTTTCAGGTGCGAATGGAGCTTGCGCCTTGTCCTTCTTCTTGCCCTCCGCCATCGCTGCACTCGAGAAGAGAAGATCTCAGTGCGCAATGTTGGAAAAGAAAGCATGTTCTTCGACTGCCACCTTCAGAAGGCATGCTCTTCGACTGCCATTGCTATCTCGACTGCCACCTTGAGAATCTCCTCACGAACGGAGGCCAGTGGAAGGAGGGTAAGTGTTTCAGATATCTTCTTGCGAGCGCATTTTCTCGTTTGAGTTCTTTGCTTCTCTTTCTTTCTGTCTTGTGAAAAAGAATGAAAGTGGTGGAGTGGAAGAAATCACTCCTCCTAGATTTGATGTCCAGACCATCGCCAATGAGTTTGGACATCTAGCGTTTGCAGTGCCAATCTTTCCGACCAGATTTCTTTTTTCCTGTGTGATCTTCCCATGCATTGATGCTAGAGCTGTGATCCACGAAACGTTTGCCGGTTCCTATCACTCCAGACTATGGAGGTCCTCTCGTCTGCTATGCTGATGGATCGAGGTCGATTTATCAAGTTGTGATAAGTTCTTTTCTTTCCTTTGCTTGTGATGAACAGATAACTCTGATCTTCCATGTTTGTAGATCATAGGCATTGAAAGGAACCGGTGCATGAAATAGTCAGCGTGGATCTTAAGAGTAGCGATCCGGCTGGTAAGTTCGTCGTGTAGTCTCGGTTTTTCGAAGATACAGAGCCGGAAGTTCTTATCACCGGGAATTACTTTTATACTTTTCCTAGACTGAGTCCCGATGGTTCTAATATAGGGTGGATTGAGTGGTCTCATCCAATCATGCCTTGGGATGCTACTTCTCTCTACGTTGGTCAAACACGGGTAAGCCTTCGTTCTTTTTTTTTCTTAAAGTGATTGTCGACTATTTGTTGCAGCGACAAGGCATATATTGCTGGAGAAGGCGGTGTGAGAGCCTAAATGGTCATCCCAAGGTATTCATTCATTCGTAACATTGTAAGTGTGGAAGAGAAGCCTTGGTTTTCAGGGGAGCTTTTCTTTGTATGTGACAGAGAGAATGGATTTTGGAACGTATATCCTTGGGTAAACACATTGCTTTATGACTGTGAAGCGTAAATATCTCAGTATTTGTCAATGTTTTGCTTCTCTTTTGTCAGTGTGAACGCAAGAACAAAAGCGAGCCATTGTACTCTCTAGACGCGGAATTTACAAGACCGGCATGGAATTTTGGCAACAGTTCCTATGAATTCTATGAATCTTCTCGTGGAACACATACAGGTGCCGTTTCGATACATTGTTGAAATTAATAGTAACTTCGCGTTGCAGGCAACGAGGATATTCAAGGTTGGCGATGGAGGACAATTTTCCTTCCACGGCCGTCCATCCAGTGGAAACCCCGTTCACTTCCATCTATGATCTGGTGTGCTAATACGAAGAACCATTCCTTTCTTTTAATCTGTTAGAGCTGGCTATTTTGTTGCTAGTGATTGGTGACACCTTGTTCATGAGTGCTGGGTCTCCAAGGCATCCAATGTCCATTGTCAAGGTACAAGTGTTTCCTTCTTCTTCTTCTTCTTTCAGTGTGATGAGATTGCAAACTGATGTCTAACTTGATACAGGTTCTGGTTCAATCAGCTGGTCGTCAGAAGCACTGATCTAGATAAATACCGAGATTACATTCACGGATCGTCGAGTTTCTTACTGAAGTACTCAGGAGGCCAACTTCTATCCGCCATTCAATGCTGACTGCCGGAAGAGAAACCTCCACTTCTAGTGCGTGCTCACGGTCCGAAACATCCCGCATTTCCAGGGAATTCTCAGCAACGTTTGTGTTGTTTCCACAGGCGGGCCTACGGTAGAGTCGGACACGACCTTGCAGTTGAATATCCAGTTTTGGAGGCTGGGCTTTTTCCGACGTAAACTATGGCGGAAGTACACGTTTGATATGTTCCTTCGCACTATTATTTTTCTTCATATTTTTCTTCATGCACAAAAGCAGCATGCTTTTGTGCATTGGAAGGTTACGGGAGGAGATACAGGGAAAGGCTAATGGAATTGTGGATGTAGCTGATTGGGTCCGCTGTGCATCCAGCCTGGTGAGCAGTGGCTTGTTTCTAATTTCCTTTTCGATCTCGCAGCTTATGGGTTGTTTCAGGCAACTTTTGGTGAAGCAGATGGACATCGAACGTGTATAGACGGGGGTTCTGCAGGAGGTTACACTTCTCAAGCCGCACTGGCCTTCCCATCGTTAGAGAACTTGAAAAAACAAAATTCACGTGCGCCAAAGAAGCCCCGGCTTTAAACTTGCCACGGTATCTCCGACCTTCGCATTTTAGGATCTGTGAGGATCATTGCGTCGTCATCGTCGGCTAGCTCGCCTAAGAACAGGCAAGAAAAGAAAGGCTAGCTCGTTCTCTTGGAGCTTACCTGGTCGCGATCGCGCTCATTCTAGCGTCCGCCCTTGCTGCTGCTGGAATGGTGCCATAAATGATTTGAAAGGCCTCGCGTGTCCCACAAATACGAGAAGCACTACATAGGCAAGCTTGTTGGTTCGTTTGTCTCGGCTTCCCCTCACTCATATCTAAAGACTCTAAAATCTCGTGCTTTTTTCCCTCAAAGGTGGTGAGCACGATCAGACGTAGACTTTACAGGTCTTAACGCTGTGTAGGTGGTACCGGCGAAACAATCTCCCATGATTTATGAAGCACATAAGTCGAAAGGCGTAACAGTCGCGTTGGTGGAATACGAAGGCGAGCAGCACGGGTTCCGAAAGGTTTGGAGTCACAAGTGCTATAAAACTCGAATAATATTCTAAGCTCTCGTGTTTCAGGCCGAGACCATTAAGCATTCTCTGGAGCATGAGATGTTCTTTGCGTGCACGGTTGGCGGGTATTTCCCGGCTGATAAAATAGTCCCTGCGTATGTCAACATTCCGGTCCCTCGTCCGGTCCCTCCATTTAAGAAAAGTGCAAAGTTTTTCTTTTTGAGAAGAAGCTCAAGGCAAGTCAAGTGAGTAGTATCTATCAGCAAACTATCTACGTCAATGCTGGTGGAAGAAAAAAGTGAAGTGCTCGAAAGTAATCAAGAAGAGAGATAAATGAAAGGGATAGGAAGTGCTAGAGTTAAACGCTCTCAAGTGCCGGAGAAACTACTCAGTAAGCAGCAGTGGCTCAATCAGTTCTTAATGATGGAAGCAGTTTGGAGGCTTTTCTTTCTCGGCCTCAAAACATGTATAACAGTGTGCAGTAAGTAACTTTAACTCTCAAGATCTCAATGTTTAAGTGAAAGGAAGAAAAGATATGCTAGAAGGGGTTGTGATTAGCACCGACATACCAAAAAAGATGGGAGTGCTTGATTTGTACAAGGTGCCTTTAGTAAAACTTAACTAAAATCCTAAATAATAATACAGCGTTTAGTAGTTTAAAAAGAATGTGAAGGAGATCAACGTGCCCTTCCAGCACCATAATCTCTTATATCGGCAAAACGCTCTTGCACAATTTCACATGCTCGTCCGCAACTTTTCCTCAATGGTAGCTTCAGCTATATCCACATCGAAGTTTACCACAACATAGCAATCCCGGCTCCGGCATCAATCTGCAAAACGTGAAGCGGCTTCTTCAGCACTAAATCGCCGTGAACTTCAAAGTCCGTAATTCAAGCTAGCAAGTGTGGGGCAACGAAATATAACCCGAGATTTCAAATCTTTTCCTTTCAGATAAGATACTATAGAGATGATTGTTACTTAGCTTGCGGAACTCCTGGATGAGAGGCAAGCATGAGTTTGAGTGCTTTCGAGAACCTCAGGCCTCCACTATCACCCTGCCTCCACAACACGCCATTGCCAAAGATTGGATGTTCAAATACTATAGAAATGCTGGTAATAATAATGGAGGATTCCTAATGTTCTTGATTTTTAGGCTTGAAAACTTTCACCATAAATTGGGAACATAACAACAACCATTGAGCTAAAGTGCCTTCAGATTTCTTCAGTGCTTCTTTGCTTGGCCATTCTTTCTACACATTTCTTTTTATTTCTAATTTAAAAAAAATAAGAATAAACATTACTATTATGCTCGATGAATTACAACGTGGTCTTCAGATTTCTTTTCGCAATAAAAATCTGGTCTTTTAATCTCTTGCAAGGCTTCCCAATAATTTGTAGATGTTGTCACGCTCTCTAGACATGGATGGGCAATAAAAAACGAGCTCAAAAACTTTTGAATAGGTGCCGTTTCATGCGGATCACCTAGATCCATTCTAATACTTCTCAATTCCAAGCTCTCCTGCAGCAGCTGATAGAATACACTCAATCGTATCTCACTTTTCCCCGGGCTCTGACGAGCGTAATCTTCAGCCCTCATATTTAGTTTGCTTATATCCAAGTGTAAAACACTCTTGCTCAAACACAAAACTTTCTTCACATTCTGGTACCCCCACCTTTCCGCAATAGTAACTTCAGGTATATTCACATCAAAATCTGCCACAACACAACAGTCCCCACTGATTTTTAACTTCTGCAGACTCGGACACTCAATCCGCAAAACGTGAGGCTCCAACAGCAGTTGATCGTGGAAATCTGGACACCTGCTATCTTTCCGAGCGTAATTCAAGCTCGTTATTGTGGGGCAACTGATCACAACCGGAGATTTCAAAGCTTCGCCTCCAGAAAGCTGGAGAGTCTGGAGCATCGGACAAGCAGATAAGATACTATAGAGGTGATTGTTGCGGAGCTTGTCGATCTCCCAGAGCTCCAGCTCCTGGATGAGAGCCAAGCATGAGTTTGAGACGCGGATGCTACTTACCCAAGTGAAGCTCAACCCCTCGAGCTTGCTGCAACCCTCCACTATCACCTTGTTCTCAGGCAATCCCTCGATCACCAACTCTTCTAGCTTGGGGCAGTCGGTGATGCTCAGATCCATGGTCTCGATGTGGGATTCGCACTCCACTCGTAGTGTCTCGAGAGATGCACGACATGCCCTCACCAAAGCTTGGATGTCATTGATGTAGTAACTCTTGATTATGGAAACTGTGGTGAGCCCTGGGAGTGATATGGGAAGAGTGCTTCGAGGAGTTCTAAAGGCGTTGTTCTTGAGTTTTAGGATTGAAAGCTTCGGAAACCCGTGTATGACTCCCCACAAATCGGGGACATTAAAGCAACCATTGAGCTCTAGAGTGCGGAGCGAGCCTTGAGATTTTTTCAGCATCAACCAGTCCTTCTTTTCTACCCCTATGTTTTCCTGCTCAGACTTGATGACTAGCTTTTGCAATCCATTCATGTGCCTACTGCTTAGAGCACCAATTACCAATCTGGCCATTCTTTCTTCGTCATGGTGGGTTCTTCTCAGCACCAGTACAGGCCAGTGGAGCCTGTGAAAGAATTTGGCCACACCGGCACAGCTGCAAAGGTCACTCAGATCCTCAAGCTTACTCAGAATAAGCGTCAACACATCCTCTTGGAGATTTTCCATTTCAAACCCTAAGCCTTAAACATTACCTTTTCTATTTCAGAATTTAAAAATGTCAGATATTTCTAAATACATTTTCTTTCTACGTAAACCAAAAGCAAAAGCCGATGATAATCTTCGTTTCGAGTCCTCGAATCGCTCTTGTTGGTTCGTTTGCCTTGGCGTCGTCTCACTCACTCTAAGCTTCTTTCCCTCAAAGGTGATGAGCAAGGATACGCTCGTTCCCCGATAAACCATCCCGAGCGTTTCTGAAGCTCTCTTATCCTGTTCCGTGACAAGGTACACACGATCTTAAAGCAGACCGCGCGGAGTTTTGGTGCTGTGTAGGTGGTACCGGCGAAACAAGCTCGCATGATTTATGAAGCCCTCAAGTCCAAAGGCGGTCGCGTTGGTGGCATTCGAGGGCGAGCAGCAAAGATTTGGAGTGACGAATTCTAAAACACTTGGAATAGTTTCTAAGCCGCCTCAACATTAAACACGCGCTGGAACAGGAGATGCTCTTTTCTGCGCAGTTCCTTTCCTGGCTGATGAAATGGTTCTTGTGCATGGCGACAACATTCCGGTCCCTCCAATTAAGTGAACGCAAAGCTTCTCTTTATCAGAGAGACAGTAGCAGAAGGCAACAAAAGAGCCACCAAGTGAATAGTATCTTTCAGCAACTATCTAAATGCTGGGAGCTTTCCACGTAGTGGTGGAGAAAAAGGAAAGTTCTTTAAGGCTCAAAAGAAATTACCGTGGCCATTCATGAAGAGAGGAAAGGGGTGAAAGGAGGAGTGAAAGCTCACCATATGTAGAAACGCTCCAGTCTGGAGAAAACTACAGCAGTGTTTCGGGAATCCGGAAACTAAAGGTTTTTCGAGACAGGGGAGTAGCGTTCACTGGCAGAGAAGAGAATCAAGAGCTTTCGGGGGCTTTTTGGATAGCTTTTCGTTGGGGAGTCGAGCCAGGCAGGATAGAGGGATTTGTAGCGAGAAACTATGCTGGAAGGCAAGGCTGTGATTGGAAGCACCGATATGCCCGAGAAGATGCAAGCGCGGGCGATGGAGTGGGCGTCCGAGGCCCTTGATTTGTACGAGGTGGACGATTGCAAGGAGATTGCGCGGCACATCAAAAAGGTAGCAGCGAGTGTTTCTGATGAAATCGCTCAAAGTTTTTCTTGGCAGGGGTTTGACGGGCTCTATGGACCCGGATGGCAGTGCATCGTGGGAACGAGCTTCGGGTCTTTCATCACGCATTCGTGCGGTACCTTCATTCACTTTTACTTGGAGAGAATGGCATTCTTGCTCTTCAAAGGCTAACAAAAAGAGAAAAGTCAGAAATTTGTCTGAGCCCGGGTTCGAACCGGGGGCCTCTAGTGTGTGAGACTAGCGTGATGACCAACTACACCACCCAGACTTAGGCGCTAAATAGTTTTAACCTTTAAGCTTGATATTATAAACCATAGAACATTCTTGAATTAAAAAATCGTTTTTGTCTTGACCTCTGCAGGTATCGAACCTGCGACCTTGGCGTTATTAGCACCACGCTCTGAATAGGCCTTAACATTATAACGTCTGGGCATAGATTCGAACCCAGAAACTCTAAACTATTATTTTCTTGAACGTTTTTGTACATGGCTTGAAACTACGCATGGAAACCACGACGCGGATTTATACCAGATTATTATCCTTGAAAGCATACAAAAAACCAGCGTAATGCGAATAGAGGGAGTACAAAGAGAAAGCAAAAGCTCAGAGCCAAAAAAATAGAGTAGAGTAAAGAACCTCAGTAGTAGAGTAGAGAAGTAGTAATAGTCACCTTCAGACTATAGCAGAGCGATGATCTTCACTGGTTGTAACTTGCATTGTCTCGCTGGGATCACGCCTGGAGTTCCTCGGCCTCGTCCTCGTACTCCCCTTCCTCCTCGGCGCTCGCGTCCTGGTACTGCTGGTACTCGGACACCAGATCGTTCATGTTGCTCTCCGCCTCGGTGAACTCCATCTCGTCCATTCCCTCGCCGGTATACCAGTGGAGGAAGGCCTTGCGCCGGAACATGGCCGTGAACTGCTCGCTCACTCGCCGGAACATCTCCTGGATCGAGGTCGAGTTCCCGATGAACGTCGACGCCATCTTCAGTCCCTTGGGCGGGATGTCGCACACGCTCGACTTGACGTTGTTGGGGATCCACTCCACGAAGTAGGACGAGTTCTTGTTCTGGACGTTGATCATCTGCTCGTCCACCTCCTTGGTGCTCATCTTGCCGCGGAACATCGCCGAGGCGGTGAGGTAGCGGCCGTGGCGGGGGTCGGCAGCGCACATCATGTTCTTGGCGTCCCACATCTGCTGGGTCAGCTCCGGGACCGTGAGCGCGCGGTACTGCTGCGAGCCGCGCGACGTGAGCGGCGCGAAGCCAACCATGAAGAAGTGGAGCCTCGGGAATGGGATGAGGTTGACGGCCAGCTTCCGGAGGTCGGAGTTGAGCTGCCCGGGGAAGCGGAGGCAGCAAGTGACACCGCTCATCGTTGCCGAGATGAGATGGTTCAAGTCACCGACTGGAAAGAGACAACAGAAAAGAAAAAGAGTTTTAGTACATTGGAATCAGGGACTTGGTCTTTTCTTTCTGACTTACAGGTTGGAGTGGTGAGCTTGAGCGTCCGGAAGCATATGTCGTACAGGGCCTCGTTGTCCAGGACCATACATTCGTCGGCATTCTCCACGAGCTGGTGTACTGAGAGCGTCGCGTTGTAAGGCTCCACGACCGTGTCGGACACCTTTGGGGACGGGAACACGGAGAATGTGAGCATCATCCGGTCTGGGTACTCTTCCCTGATCTTAGAGATGAGCAGTGTACCCATCCCCGACCCAGTACCTCCTCCAAGGGAGTGGCAAACTTGGAAACCTGCCAAGAACACATCCTCCAGTTAGCCACAAACAATGCTAAAGAAGACCCAATAATCGATCGACCACATACCTTGGAGGCAATCGCAGCTCTCGGCTTCCTTTCTCACCACATCGAGCACGGAGTCGATGAGCTCGGCGCCCTCTGTGTAGTGACCCTTGGCCCAGTTGTTTCCAGCGCCGGTTTGCCCAAACACGAAGTTGTCCGGCCGGAAGATCTGCCCAAACACGCCGGATCTCACGCTGTCCATGGTACCGGGCTCTAGATCCATGAGCACCGCACGGGGGACGAAGCGGCCGCCGGTGGCCTCGTTATAGTAGACATTGATCCTCTCGAGCTGGAGATCCGAGTCGCCATGGTAGTTCCCGGTGGGATCGATCCCGTGCTCATCACAGATCACCTCCCAGAACTTGGCGCCGATCTGGTTCCCGCATTGCCCGCCCTGGATGTGGAGGATCTCACGCATCTTCGCTTGCCTGCATTGGTAGCCAACACACAGGGGTCGATGGATATCGTCAAGATCACGATATTTCGAGCAAAATATGACCGACAAGCATCGATCGACCGCGACTTACATAGAACACAGCGATTCCTACCGATGACACAAGAATGCAAGCACGGCAAGAGACAGAATCGATCGAAAACGCGAAGAACACAGGGCGGCAGCCAAACTAGCGATCTAGAAGGGGGCAAAATCACAAAAGAGAGAGATCTGGCAGCGGCGCAGTGCCAGGCGAGGGAAAAAGACGATCCAGGCAAAGAAATCGTGAGAGAATCGCTACTGACCTTGGAGAAGAAGAGGCAGCGCCTTCACAGCCGGGAAGAAGCTCCTCAAACGCGCAGCGCCTTTAGCTCCGCCCCAGGAGCCGATACAAAAGAAGGGAAAACAACTAGCGAAAAGAGTTTATTACTAAACAGGGGGAAGATTCTTTATACATGGGAACCTGTGATTAGCCGCATTGGAACAAAACTTGGTGTCCGGGCTACCTTGCATTTAATTTCCCATCTGGCGTCCGCCCTTGTTTTAACTTTTCGACGAATGCCCGCGAAAATTTTCGAATCAGAGGCGGTGGCGGTAGCGGTGAAAAGAATTTCACCCGCTAGGTAACTTAACCACGGAAAAATATCTTGTGCTTGCCTGTAAATCACATGCGACCATTATCAAAGTGGGCCAGGGGCCCATTCGCGGAGTACGAATGGGCCGTACGGCGGGCAAATCAAGTATGTGGTTGAAAATGACGTTGTTTCTAGACGTTGATGTTTGGCTGGCTTAGACGAACATGCACGAACGTGTGATTACAAAGAGAGAGAGAAGGCAAAAAAAAGGATAGACAGAAAGAGATAACCTGTTGGAGCCGGCTATGGTGCACTGCCAAAAGGATAAGCTTCCTTTCCTACCAGCAACGAACGACTGTGTTAAAGGGATAGACAACAAAAAAGAAATTCATGATCTATGTCGTGCATCGATGCTCACCTGGAATTCCTTGCAGGGTCTCATAAATTTCTTTCACTTCGTGAAAGCTTCCAAACATTCCGGAGCAATCTGCTAGAGCTCTAGATTTTAAAGTCGTAGATTGTTCGCTTTGCTGCCTGGAACACGAACCACGTTAAACTAAATAGTTTTCATCTACGATCGATCCTGCTAAACTTTTTTCCTCGGTGAGTGAAACTAAGAAACCATATCTATCTATCGATCTTGGATGAATGAAACTAAGAAGATTTTCTAGCTTAAAACTTTACCTCCGCGACATCACTGTGGCGGCACTGGTGAAGTGTCTGCTAGCTTAACACGCAAGCGCCTTCCATCGCAGTCCTGCAAAAAGAGCAAAGAGAGAAAGACTTTACCAAAAACCTTAAGAAAAGAATGAAAACCAACGTACCGCTCCGTCCAAAGATTTAACAGCTTCGTCGGCTTCCTTTGGCGAGGACAAGGTTACAAACCCAAAGCCGCGAGATCTGCCAGTGTCTCGGTCATACACTATCTTCGCCTCCACCACTTTCCCGTGAGCTCGAAAAAACTCTTCAAGGCTTCCATCGTCGACTCCCCAAGGCAAATTCCCAATGAAAACTTTCGTGTGGCTTGCTGCTACCTCCACGGGTCCCTCTTTTCCAGCCTTTTTGTAAGGCTGAGAAAAACTAGCCTTAAGTGCTCTACCTTGAACAATCTGTGCAAAAACAGAAGAGAAGAGTGTTCTCAAGCCTCGAGAAAAAAAATAAAATAAGTGACTTACGTGACCATCGAGCTTTTGGACCGCAACTTGAGCAAAATCGATGGACGTCAATGTCACGTATCCAAATCCACGACTTCTTCCAGTTTCCCGATCGCACACTACCTACAAAATCTAAGTTAGTCTCTATTTCATGCTGCATTGGTTCTGGAAAAATCAAAGAGACATACCTCCACTTCCTCGACGTGTGCTAGAATCCCAGCTTGTTGCAGCACCTTGGCAAGCTCCTCGCTATCGCAGTTCCACGAGAGATTTCCCACATAGATCCGGCTCGGCCGCGCGACGCTGGAATCAATTTCACTCTTCACGCAAAGCCCTCGCATTTTCCTCCTACGAATGCCGACGAAACGAAATCTTACAGACGAGCGCGCGCAGTAAAACGAGGAAGAAATCCCGAGCCAAGCGCCGCCTCCGCCATCGCTATACACGCTCATCGCCATGCCCTAAGCTTTCATAATGAATGATTAAACCCTACGTAGTATATACTGCGAAGATTCTTCTCTATATTTTGAACAGCCCGCCATTGCGTTTTGCCCTTAACACTTTGTGGGAACGAATAGCGCAGCGATGGCGCTCTTCTCCAAGCTCGGCGCGTTGGCGGCATTAGGGATCGCGCTCTTCAGCATCAGCTCTACGATCGTGGCGCTCTTCCAGGTCGGCGACTTGGCGGCGATGGCGTGTGGCCTGCCCGTACTCGGCGTTCTCTGTCCCGTGGCGATCTCCCTCTACACGAAGATTTCCAAGGTTTCCTTCCGGGAATTCTTGATCTGGAGGATTGTATATTTCATCTCCGCCGTGCTCTTGATTCTCATGGAGAGGGTTTCTACGGCAGTTCTTGGTACGTATTCTCGAATTCTTCCTTGATGCCGAAATATTTCGTCCTTTGATCGATCATGCACATTCTTTCCAGCGGCTTTCTCCAGCCCATCCATGGTCTTCCTCCTCCATGCCGGTAATACCAGCTTTCTTTCTTGCCAGAATGATCAGGCTCTTTCTTTTTTGTGTTTAGTTCCTGGCGTGAATTGGATGATCGACCCGCTCTTTAGGATAATCCAGCATGTCTCGATCAAGACAGGTAAATCTAAGCTTTCTTTCCAATTCGACGTTCCATGTTCTCTTCAACCTTAGGACTTCCTTGTCCGTTTATCATCACTGGGAAGACCATCCTGGTGTACATGGCCGAAGGAGCTCAACGCGATCTCATTTATATTCTCAACGAGCAGCGGCCAGCGATGACTATCAAACTGGATGATCGATATCAGCTCAGGCCCATTACGAGAGACTCGACCCCCTCCCACATCGATCTCTTCCTCTACGTTGCCTCCGATGTGGTGCTGCACGACCACGACACACTTACGCAACAGACTCGGGCGGCCTACTTAGCTGCAAAGGATTTCAAGCCTGTGGACGCGTTTGTTGTCGTCGGGAAGGAAAAAGAGGTCAGTCATATAGATTTGTTACTTGAACTCATCGCCTTCCATGCGGTTTTCCAGATGAGGCGCTATGTTGGTCTTGGTCTTGGTCCTGCTTGCCTTCTCTTACCTCGCAGACTCAAGAGGCAGCTCGATAATCTCGGGTACCGACTATATTGCTTCAAAGACCGCTCTCCACCGGGCTTCATCAATGGTACGTGCGTCGAGAGTGGCTACTTTAGCTTACATTTGTTATTTGTCATCTTAAGCAGCTCTAGCTCCAGACGCTCCAGCTCCAGACGCTCCAGCAGCACAAGCTCCAGTTCCAGAGGCTCCGGACGCTCCAGCTCCACATGCTCCAGCTCCAGAAGTTCCAGCAGCACAAGCTCCAGCTCCAGAAGCTCCAGATGCTCAAGCTCTTCCAGCTCCAGCTCCAGCAGGTCCAGCTCCAGGGGTCTACATTCCGCCTCACCGAGCGAATCGCTGGTAAGAGAACAATCGAACAGCGTAAGTTTTGCGTACTTCGCTTATGTGAATTCCGTGCCACTGAATTTTTTTTCGCGATTTGTCGTTCCCTCGTGCGAGCTGCAAAAGATCGATTTCTTACAATGGTTCCTCTCGAGGTAAAGAACACGGTCAAGATTTACCGTTGTTAATTTGCCAATACACAAGAGCATTTTAAATAGCCCGCCATTTTTTGCCCTTACCTTGGTGTCGCGATCGCCTTACGGCGCTCATCTGGCGATGGCGATCTTCTTCGAGCTCTGCAAAATGGCTATGACGGCGGTGAAGGTCTGCTACAATCTCGTCCCCTTGCTATTCGCCGCATTGGCGCCGTCGACGAGGGCGTCGATCCAGGCGTTGGCGATGGCGTTCGTCTCCAAGATCGTCTCCCTCGGGGCCATGGCGGCGACGGCGTGCCACAATCTCGTGCCCTTTCTCTGTGGTTTGGCGGCGTCCTTCACCAATATTTCGGCATTGGCGCCGTCGACGAGCATCGCGATGGCGTCGATCCAGGCGGTGGCGATGGCGTGCGTCTCCAAGATCCTCTCCCTCGCGGCCATAGCGGCGACGGCGTGCCACAATCTCGTGCCCTTTCTCTACGATTCGGCGGCGTCTTCCACCAAGATTTCCGCATGGGCGCCGACCATCGCGATGGCGGCAACCTCGATCCAGGCGCTGGCGATGGCGTGCTTCTCCCCGATCGCATGTTACGCGAGGACGACCTCAGGAAGTGAGTTGAATCTCAGGGTTCTATGGCGATGGGCAATCGGTCTTGGTATGTATCCTCAGATTCCTCGCTCTCTCATCGATCGTGAATTTTTCTAGTCTTTGCCTTCACCCGGAGCGTTTCGGTGTGGCCTTTGATCCTCATCATCGTTTTCTATGTAGCCTTTGAAATCGGTAAGCGCTTCTCTTTACCGGATCATGCTCGACTTTCTTTGCTTTGCTGCTCTAGTGTCTGCTGTGGAGTGGATTTTCGGCCCGGTTTTCCAGTTGATCCAGTATGTTTTGATCAAGATAGGTAACGCATATTTCCGCTCACGATTTTTTCTCGAAACGTCTTGTTCGACACCAGGACTTCCTTGCCCGCTGATCATCACTGGTAAAAGAATCCTGGTATTTCCTTGCGACGATCACCCACATTCACTCGTTGGCATCATGGGAGAACAGCGCCCAGCGATTATCCTGCAGATGGCTGCTAACTATGTACTCACGAACTATAGTTGGCCATGGAAGATTTGGCGCGTGGATCTCTTCGTCTATGTCTCTTCAGATGAGTTGCTGCGCGACCACGACAAACTAATGCAAGAGGCTCGCCACGCCTATCGAGAAGCCGTTCGGCAAATCGGGCCAGTGGAAGCGTTCGTTATTGCTGGCAAGAAATCCCAGGTTGGTGATGAGTATCTCTGGTGCTCGGGCTAATTTGCTTGTGTGTGTGTGTGTGTGTTTAGGTGACGCGCTCTCGTGGCATTGGTCCTGCTTTTTTCCTCATGACCAGAAGGCTCAAGAACGAGCTGGCTGCTCTTGGGTACGAGTACCGCTTGTATTGCTTTAAGACCCTTGCTCCAGCTGGTTTCCTCGATGGTAAGTTTATCTGTTTTGGCTGTGTACTTAAAAATGGCATCTCCTGCTGCAGCTCCACCTCCAGCTCCAATCGCTCCCTCCCAGGCTCTGCGCCCGCGTCGCCCTGACCCGTACGCAGGGGCGTCAGACGCTTATAACCTAAGGAATGCGGTCTGATTGAACACTCAGCGTAAGTTTTGCCTAGTTGAAGTCCGTCGTCACTGAAAAACAATTTCTCATTGTTGCTGGAGCGAGTTTTGAAAGATCTGATTCTTTTACATACACGAACACTCTAGAGGTATTTCATTAACTTTCAAAGTAAAATTTCACAAAGTAGTTACAGGATGGGAAAGTTAACGAGCGTTTCGAACCTGGCCATGTGTTGCGGATTGATGGTGAGCAGCACGTCAACCCCGCCTTCGGGCCTGGACGGTGACACGGGTAGAATGAGCACAAACTCAACTCGCTGTGTGAGCACGGGGCCCATGTAGATCGGCTTCCCCCATCCAAAGTCCATCTCATAAAACGGGAACTTCCACCACGACGAGATGTAGAAGCCACCGTTGAACTTGGGAATGCCTCGGTGGATCTCGCTCCAGTCGATCCACGAGCGTACGAATTCATCGTCTGCTCGAAGTAAGGCCTCACGGACGACTGTCAGGCAGTGGGACAGTGGTTTTTTGAGCAGCTCCTCGGTTTTCATCCTCACGGCGACTGGAAAGGCCCGGTTGCCGACGAAGCCTCGGGGGATTGGCGGTGTTACTTTCTTGCTCACGTCGACAGCCATGAACATGGTGGCCTGGTGCTCCAGCGGCATCCCCATCGCAGCAGTTCGCAGCTTCCAGACGTAGGTGGCGACGACGTCGAAAGTCGAGCACCGGGTGATGGTTCCGTCGGACATGGCCAACTTCTTCAGATACTCGACCTTGCTCGCCGGGATGTTGATGGCTCTCGAAACCAAGTCCGTAACCACGTAGTTACCGGAGGCCAGATTGGTGCTGACGACCATGTCTTCCATCGTGGAGAAGGAGTTCGTGCTGGGGATCTCACTCGCCTTGTAGTAGACGTCGGCGAAGTCGATCTTGGGGGTTGGTTGCGGGCGAGCTGCGAGCATAGTCCGATCGAACTGAAGCTCTGGAAGCTGGAAGTTTTCAACGCCGCGAGCTTTGGAAGTGAGGTGCTGCATGAAGTCGATGATGCTGATGCCGTCCGCGAGCGCGTGGTTCACCGACAGGCCGAACGAGAATCCACCGCAGAGAAACTTCGTCACCTACAAAACAGGTTCTTACTGATTTCTTTTTACTTTTCTCGCTCTGGTGCTTATGTAAACTCTTCAGGAAAGCTTCAACACGAACCTGGACAGTGGCGAGAGGCCAATCCGAGAGAACCTTCACGTTCGTCGCAGTGAACACCAGGTTGCGATACAACGCATTTGGAAGCGTGAGATCGCCCAGGTCGGCGATGTTGAGATCGGAGACAGCTTCGACAAACGGCACGCCAGCTGAATTGGCGTCGATCTCCAGGCGCTGAGTTTCCTCGCTGACGGCCAGCCTTCCAGCAAACGGATAGAACTCCACCATGACCTCCTGAAGGGCCCGGAAGAGGACCTTGGGAGCGTCGGCAGCACCGGACGAGTAGAAGTAGATGGAGTCGACCATGAAAACAACAGTGAGATCGATGTTTGGGAGGAAGATCTTGGCCCGCGGAGTTGGCCCGGCGGGGAGTGCCAAGCTGCAGCTCTGGATGGCCACTGGGAGGAGCTGGGATTCCATGGAGAAAGGCGGGAAAGAAAGATATCCGGGGATGGGAATTTAGCAGCCGACTGGAAGGGGAAAGGGATCAACACAGGAAAAATGGTGGATGGCTCTCGGCTGAAAGGTGGTGAAGATATTAAATTTTCGCGATGGAACAGCGTCTTGGCGTGATGGGGAGGCATGCAGCTGACGTTGTCCTTGGAGGAATGGGTTTCTTAGAACCATGCGAAATGCTCCTTTTCAAGCGAAATAAGGAAGTCAACAAACTAGAAGAAGACCACAGTGAAGTGAAGTTGGATAAGGTATGTGGAGGTACCAAAGGTCGCTTTAAAAAATAGAATGCGACAAGGAGCTTACTTCACATTGTTAAACTGTTGGTCAGACTTCATCTTTAACTCCAAGCTAGATTTTCTGCTAACATCTGCACTTTTTTTTGTATACGTGTCTATTTTCTTCATCGCAAGGCTATGGAGTTAGCCTCGACATTGCCGACACCAGCAAAGATTGGCAGTACCTTTTGCAATTGTTCTACACCCAGGTACTTAAAATCCTTGCACTTCAATCCAATTTATCGATTTTTTCTTTCAGAGCAAGAAATCGAGTCCAGTGCACGAGCACGGCACAAGCAACTAGAACCTTGGAGCTGGAATTAACTTATCTGGAGGTATTTCTTTTGAATGCTCAGCACTTTGGATTGAAAGCAAGTGTTTTTTTCCATGATTTTAGGGAAATAGCTGGCTGTGGAGAGTGTCGGGGGTCTCTATTTTGGTTGATCCAGTCCTTGTTGGAAATCTAGACTTTGGAGTTCCTTTTCTATATGATGGTGCAAAGAAAAACCTCCACAAACTCAAGGTATCTGAGCTCAACTTTTTAAAAACCGTATAATGTATTCAAGATCTGTAGCTTGACGAACTTGGAGATGTGGATTGTCTACTTATCACCCAAAGTTTGGATGATCATTGCCACAAAAGAACTCTAGAGCCTCTCTCAAAGATTTATCCACAACTTCAAGTCATTGCAACTCCAAATGCTGAGCCAATTCTTAGCAAGATCTTCAAACAAGTAACTCATCTTTCTTTTCTTAGTTTTTTCTACGATTTGTTTTTCAAGGTCACTTACATAGAACCAGGCCAAGAGACAAGTTTCAGGGCCTCAAGCAAGTCAAGTTTAAAAGTAACAGCTTCCGCAGGACCTGTTCTTGGACCTCCATGGCAACGACCAGAAAACGGGTTAAAACATTTTTTCTATACTTCTTTCATTTCTCATTTTATTTTTACAGCTACTTTGTTGAGACGTCTGATCCAAATGCCCGAATTTACATTGAGCCTCACTGTGTTTTTGATCGGAAATTGCTCCAAGGCAAAACAGCTGATGTGGTGATTACGCCTGTGATCCAACAAAAGCTTCCATTGTTTACACTTGTGTCAGGCCAAGAGGACGCAGTGGAGCTTGCTAAGACTTTACAGCCAAGGTAACTGATATATTTTTTATTCTGGTTCTCATCTGTCTCTGGATTTTGGATATCCTCCAGATATGTTGTACCTATGAACAATGGCGATTTAGATGCCAAAGGAATCCTTGCAAAGCTGCTGGTTGAAGTGGGGACTGTAGAGAGCTTCAAGGTAACAGCATACTTTTAAAACAGAGAAATGAATTTCATTTGTTTCAGACATCTTTAAAAGAAGTTGCACCAAGAACACAAGTCGTGGAGCCAACACCTGGGATTCCACTCCACTTGACATTGTGAGAGGTAATGCTACACAGATGGCTTAAAATATCCGAAAATAACTTTAAATGGATAGCTTTTCTTTATATGCAAACTCGTGAAAGTCGAATTCATTGGGTAAGGCTTCTGGACTTCCGTGTAATATAAATATAAAAGACAAAGTTTTGTTCCTCCCAGCCAACCAAGAGGGACGACACACTTTCCTCCGAGAGCTTATGGTGGCATTCACAGACTCAAGCATCTGGATCAAGGGAGCCGAGCTATTCCAGTGGCATAAGGAAATGATTAAGTCTCGACCTCCACCCCACTTGCTTTAGTGAAGTTGCTATTGTCTCTGGCTTAATCACAAGATTGTCAAAGTTAATTAGTTTCAGTCAAAAAAAGACTTTTCCAACAAGGACTTTTGAACGACTATTGCTACAACCTCGTCAGGAATCCGATAAGTATTTGTTTCTAGGTATAAAGTCACACAAGAGCTTGAAGTAGCTTGATACTCGATTTGCAACTTCTTGAAACGATAATAATACATGTTTTTGGAATTTGAAAGAGAATATTTTTCTGAATATCACATTTAGGGTTCTTGCGTTGTCTCGGCGTAGGGATCCGGGCTCTTGTACGAGTACCATCGCGCCAGCGGCACATAGATCGCCAGGTTCGCAACGCTCAGCCCCGCCATCAGCCAGTAGTAGCGATCCAGATGCCCGGCATTCACATCGTTCTGGAGCCACGACGGCGCCGCGCGGCCGACGCAGGTAATGAGCACGCTGCTCATGAAGCTCCCCACGCCCAGGTTCGCGAGCCCCAGGCTGATCCCCAGGCTGTGGAAGGTATCGGGCGATTGCTCGTGGAAGAACTCCAGCATGCTCGTGTTGGCCAGGCCCTCCGCCATGCCCAGCAGCGCGTACTGTGGCAGCAGCCAGAAGATTCCTAGCTTCCTGGAGCTGGAGTTCTCGTCCTTCCTCTTGATCTCCACCAGTGCCGCGGTGACGAGCGCGATCACGGTGACGAAGATCCCCAGCCCGGTTCGCTGGAGCAAGGTGATGCCGCGCTCGTTCTTGGAGATCTTTCTCATGGCCGGGACGAGGATCCGGTCGTAGAACGGGAGGAAGAGCACGACGGTGATGTTGCTGAAGAGAAGCATTGACGCTGGCGGGATCTTGAAGGAGGTGCTTCCAAGCCGGTTGTCCATAGCCATTCCTTGGCGGAGGAAGAAGGTGGCGGACTGGGTTGGAGCAGTGGTAAACCATAGCGTTGCGAACCAGACTGGGAGCATTCGTATGACGAGCTTTACTTCCTCGACTCGCGTCACGGTGGAAAGCTTCCAGGGGCTGGTTTTCGTCGTGGATTCCACTTCCATGTCCATGTCGCCATCGAGTTTGAGTGCTGCCTTGTCAAGGAACCTGGACGACGAACACCGCGGCTTTTAGAACAGGAGCAAAAGGACGGAAGAAGATGACAGGCACTACTCACAGGAACTCGTCGGTGTGAGGGATGTGTCTTTTGCCTTTGGCGATGGACTTTTCCTCGTACAGCTCGAGAGCTCCGACTCTGTTGCGACGCTTTCGGAAAGCGGAGACCAGGACTTGTGCGATCTTTGTGAGGGGGCTTCCGTCGGGACGACGGTAGCGGTATCTCGGCGTCTGGATGAGAAAGACGGCCATGGCGATGGAGAGAACGATGACGAGAATGCCGAAGCCCCAGGAGAAGCCGACGTTGTCCTCGATGTAGACGAGGACGGTGACTGATATCAGGCCTCCGACGTGGACGGCACAGAGCAGGAAGTTGAAGAAGGAGTACTTTTGCGGCCTCTCGACGTCGTCGGACTCGTCGAACTGGTCGGCTCCAAAGGACATGAACGAGGCGGTGGAGCTTCCGCCCGCAAACGCTATGGCGTAGAGGGAGAAGAAGAACAAGGCATTCTGAGCAGTGGACGCTGGCCGGCAAGTGTAGTTTCGAGCGGGACAACTTGGAGGCCTCAAGCTTGTGACGGATGCGGAGATGGTAAGGCAGCTCAGTCCCTGTCAGGAAGTTTAGTTTTTTTTCTTTCGAAGTGTGTGAAGTGATGATGGTGATGATGGTTTTTGTTTTGCAGAGAGAAGAAAGTTTGCGGCAAGCTCACTACTCACCACGCAGTAGAGAAGAAACGAGTACAACAGCGTCTTGTAGCGCCCCCAATATGTGTCGGAGAGAAAAGCTCCGAGAACTGACGAGACGAAGAGAGTTCCTTGCCAATTGGTGAGATCTCTGGCAGATCTGGCAACACCTTGATGCATAACGGTCGTCAAGTAAGTCACCAGGTTGGAAACTATACCGAAGAAGATGATAGTGGCAGACACTTGGATCACTGCGGCACAGGAAGGAAAAGCTTTTAGAACTGGCAGAAAACGAGACAGTGCACCCTCACCGAGCATTGGGATGGCTCCCGGCCATCGTCCGGTCTTCTTCTTGAGAGCAGGCCGGCCTTTGAAATCCAGAGTTCCATTCTGCGCATACAAGTAAGCCTGTGCTTTGCTCTCCAATTCCTGCGGTTGTTTTGCTTAGATCGGACAGTCTAGATGAACTTACCATTTGTTGCTTCCCGTGCAGAGCTACAAAACGTTGGCCACTCCCGGGAGCTTTGGAGCCTGGAAAGCTACAAAGGTCATTCTTCCTTTTCAGAGAAAGAATGAGTGAGATTCGAGCAACCAAACCATTTTCGTGCGTACTTAAGGAGCTCGTGTGTGAGTGTGTAGGGGCCCAGAGTTGAAACTTTTATCCGGGAGGTCAGCTCTGTGACGCACTTTAGTCCAGAGTTTCTTGAAGAATTAAAGACATCCAACTTCCTTTCTGGCCTACTCCTTGACTTCGATTTACTGGAACAGTGGAGAACCAGTAACTTTTGGAAAGTAATCGGCAATCGGTAATAGGCTTTGACGTGGCAAAAGAGAATGAGATTTAACAAAAGGTTATTAGGCTATTTCTTTGAAGGTGAGAACGTGAATAAAAATAATTATCAGTTCAACAACATGGTATTATAGTTTCAAAATTAAATGCATAAAGTAATTACCTGACTTCCTAAAGACCAGCATGCAAAACAAGCTTCTCTTTGAGCAATGGCTTGGTGGATTTGGTACAGGCCCACTCTCATACCATGAATCAGGAGATTTAGAGTTGGAGGGAGGGGCAAACAATTCTAACTGTGGCTTAGACCCGAGGACATGCTAGTTGGCATGGGTATCTTAGAGCCAATCACCCCACAGGCAACAGGGAGCAAACGCCTGCTTTTGCAAAATGGAAGAAGCTGGATTCTGTCTGCCACTCCAAGCTGTTTTTGGCTGCTCAAGTGCATACAAAATCTAATCATGTTAAAGTGGCAAAGATGCCGTTGTTTCTTTGAGCGTGACCAAGAACCTGAGCTTGACTATTATGTTCTTACTAAGCTATAAGTTTTCCAATGGGGTTAAATGAAATTAATTTAAAATCCTAAACTCTTTTTTTAACACTCCAACCAAATATTTTTACACTAAGCACGCTGCAAAAGAGGCTTCTCCACCAAACCAAAGCGAGGTTTTGTCCTCCCAATAAGTCTTCTCCACTGGCATTTTCTTAAAATGTTAAACAAGAAAAGATAATTAATAATTTAGAGCTACGATGGAAATCGTCCACTCCCGAGGCTGCCACCATGAAGTAAATCAAGAACTCATAAGATTATTAAAACAATTTATTATAATCCGTCGGTCTCATGCTTGGTGGCGCCACAAGACCCTGTAAACAGTTAATGAAATTTCCAATTGTTAAACTAGTGAGTAAATGTGTAACCGAGACACGGCTAACTAGTTATTTTTTTACTTGAGTTATCACTTAGGTGGTCACCTAAAAGCTGCTATTCTTTTTACAGCCTTGTTCTATCTCTTGAAGCTAGCGGCCCTGGGGAGCTCGTCCGGCTTCACGGGCAACCGGATCATGTTGTAAGAACACGCACCCGCCAGCGCGCCGACTGTCGGGCCGACAATGTAAACCCACAATCCACTGTAGTTGTTCGCGGCGATCGCGGGGCCCAAGCTTCGTGCTGGATTCATTGACGCGCCCGAAATCGGCCTGAACGAACGAGGGAGAAAAATGTCGTAAAGCTCGAGAAGGATTTTGTCCAGTTTGATCGATCCAAAAGGGAAACGAGTGGCTTACCCGGCGAAGATGGCATTCAAGCCCACTGTAGCACCGATTGCGAGGCCTGCCAATTCTCCAATCTACACGATCGTCGCGGACATTAGAGCGGGATCTACAGAGAGGATGTGTCGGCGCTTACCGCTCGAGTGTCGGTGGCGACGGCGGAGACGACGAACATGAGAATGTAGGTGATGATCGCTTCCAGATAGAAGGACTGGAGATCGCTTCCAGCGGGAATTGTGGCACCGATGTTAGCCACGGGGCTGATGATCAGCCGCAGCGCAAACGCGGCAGTGATCGCGGCAGTGACCTGTGCGCCGATGTAGGCAGGAACCTGGGAGAGAGGAGAGATTTTCCAAAGTTAGAGACGAAGATCGCGGGAAAGAAGAACACAAAGAAAAACCATCGACTAATTCACGATCAATCCAAATCTAACTCAATCGATCACTGAGAATCTAGGAGAGAGATCTAGCTTACTTGCTTCCAGGGGAAATGGCGCACGGTCGCAAACGCCAGAGTCACGGCCGGATTCATGTGAGCTCCAGAGATGTGGCCGACGGCGTAGACCATGATCATCACCACGAGCCCAAACGCCGCCGAGACGCCCAAGTGGGTGATCGAATCCTTGTACTTGGCGTCCACCATCGCGGCGCCACATCCCGCGAAGACGAGGATGAATGTGCTGATCACTTCCGCGCCAATCTACACATCCCAAGAACCCTATAAACAGGGGACAGAGAGAGAGGAAGAAGAGGGGGGAAATCGATCCATTACCTTCTGGAAGAGCGTGGATTTGGGCACGATGGCGACTGGAATGCATCCCCTAGAGGCCGCGGGAGGCGAGGCCTGGTGATGAATCTGGTGGCCATTCGCGGGGAGAGCGATGGAGGGCGCTGGCGTGACCCGGATCTCGTTGAGCTGGAAATCGCTCATCCCTGCCGCCGCTGCTGCCATGGATCGGGTCAGGAAGGTCGTCGCAGCACAGCCCAAGAAGCGATCACATTCGATCAGGCGAGGAATTGGGGAGAGGAGAGATGGTTGTGCGCGAGGAGGCAGAGAAGTCGTGCAAGCTTTTATAAGCGGCCATAAATTGTGGAGACTTTGGGAGAGTATAGAGGCGCGCGGCGCAGGGGTCCATATGTGAAAGAGATCAGACTGACTGTCTCGTAATAAACACCACACACCCACCCGTTTTGGAAGAAAAAAAACAAGCACGCA